ATTGAATGAAATTTTAGGAACATTATTTGGGGACCCAGATTGTTGGGGGCAATATACTGACTATAAACCTCTTAGAGAGGGCTGTAAATTAAAAGCACTATGAAGCGGTATATAAGTCTAAGTGCTATTGCTATTAAGAATATCTGGATCACTGGAGAGAGTGAAGTGAACAGGCTAACCTTGCCATGTATGATTCTGTTATCTTCTATCAAAAGGCCAGTTCTTTTAGAAAAAAAAATACAACTTTTATAATATTTCTTTTAAATAATACAGCTTAAACTCAACAAGGAAGTTCTGTGAACAACAGCAGCCTTTCATATTTGTCATCAGCACAATTAAAAATGAATTCTGAAAATACTTCTATACACACTACTCATCCAAAATCTATTGAATTGCCTGGATGTGTCTTTTTATTTTAATGGAGATGTGCACTGCCTCTGGAGTTCTCATTCATTATACATTCTCATATTCCATTCTTGCTCAAATTCACAGTATCATATTGACCTAAAAATAAGATAAAATCAATTTTGGTGAGAAGAATTTCTCATTTGACAGCATAGAAACCAAGCTGTTTAGATGTGATAGAACCCTTCTTAAAAACCCAGGCTTGGTAATATTGAGGAAGGGGACTTAGATATCCGGCTGACCATGTTAGAATCCTTTGTTCAGTTTAAATTGTTAATTGTATCCATTTCTGTCATTGGCATAACTACCCATAGTGGGATGTATGAGAAGTTAAAATTAATGGAGAACTTTCAGCTTCTGCCAGCCTGTAAACATAATATGTTATTCCTCTTCTGTACCAATTTCCAGAGTATATCTGGACCCAATTGGGTTTCCCAGGGCACATCTTCCTCTCTATCATTTTAAAAATAATTTTAAATTATAATAAAGCTCTCTTAATCAAGACTAAATTGCAATATGTGTGAACTTTGGGAGGAAATTGCTCTGTACGATTTATGTTCATCGTTTTTTGAGACTGCCACCTTAACAAAACGGAGCAGCCTTTGTGAAATAAATTGGTCCGCGGTATATGGAGAGGTGTTTTTCTTTGTCCGTTTATGATTTAGAGACAAAATGTTTTTCCAAGGCTGTTGGGAACAGAATCTCTTCAGCTGGGCCTCTGGAGAAGATAGTTTCCTTCCACAAATATGGTCATTGTGCACAATAAATTGGATATTTGATGTTATTACTTAACACTGACCTTTCTACTGGTATATGAAAGTACTTTGAAATATTTGAGTCTGTTGCTATATTCCAAACAGTTACAGGCCATATCGAGGACACTTTTTTTTTAAAAAAAGTTAAGTACTGACAAATATTTTTAAGTTCCTCTATTTTATACTTTGACCCCTAGTAGACCTATATTCACAGCTGGCCCTATGGCAGATTTATAGCCGCACATTTCCTTTTCATTCTTGTTCGTTTCCCTAGCTTTATTTTATCTCGCAATAACTTTTATGGACAGAGCCAATAAAGGCTTACCACAGGTGCTATATGGTTTCTTTTTGGTGCAGAAACTGGAAAGTGAGATATTCCAAACATGAAAAGCAAAGAATAAAGACTGTAATATTAGACCCAGTTGAAATGAATTTCCTATATGCTGCTAAAATTTTTAAAAAGTGAATACTTTTTGCCAGCCCATCCAAAATACCGTGAGGTATTCTGTGACATTTGCAAATGAAGGCAATGAAAATGACTTTGAGATTTCCTGTGAGCTTTATTTTGCCCTCAAATAACTCTTACATGGAACTTGCAGGCAGCAGAAAGAGACTATGAGTGAAACTGACAGATCTATTCATGCCTTTATTAAGGTTCTTATTAAGCTGCAGAGCCTTATCAGCTGTATGTTAGTGCGTTTATTTGTATTTTGGTACTACAGTAGTGTATTCTGAAGATATGGAAAGGCAGAAAATAGATTAGATTACAAGGTAGTCCTTGATTTGTTATCAGTTGCTTAGCAACCATTCAAAGTTACAACAGACACCTCCCCCCCAATGTACTTATAACCTCATTCTGATGGTTGCACAATCACACACACCTGCGGTCATGTGATCCCATTGTGGGAGTTTGGCTACTGGCTCACCTTTACTGAAATCTGCAGTGTTCTGCAGTCACATGACAACAATTTTCAATGTCTTTTTCCAGTTTCCAGCATTTACTTCTGGTTTCTGGCAAAAGGCACCTATTGGATAAAACAGATTTGCTTAACAACCATCATGTTTGTTAATAGCTGCCACTTTTGCTTAACAACTGCCACAAAAAAGGTCTTAAACAGGCACTGTCATATGGTGATCCACTTAATGACCAGTTCAGGCTCATAATGTCCTAAGTTGAGAACTACCTATATTGTACTTTATTGAACAAATGTGCATCCTCTGATGAGTTCTTGCATTATGTATAATTTTCATTAAAAGTTTGAAGAACAATAATAAAAAATACAACAAACTAAATCAGAAAAAGTGGAAGAGAGAGAAATAACATAAAAGGCTAAAAATGCAATAAGAAACAGAAATAAGAAAAAACAGAAAAGAGCAAGAGCAATATATAAAGACATAAAGAAGTCGCTTCCAATATTCTTCATAACAGTTATAAGTAAAATTATATTTTAACCTCTCTAATGTTACATCATGACTTTCTTCTTTCTATAATCTGTAATGTCTCTTGTCTAACCATCAGAACCAAAAATCACAAATTCATTGTTTCTTTGTTTTTGCTCAAAATGTCCACAAGGAGATTCCAATAAATACACTGAGGTCTTGCATAAGGATCAAAGGGGTAGCAAACACAAATTGGTGGGTTTCGTGTCCTTTTAAAAATATATTACAGCACATCCAAGTCTTTGATGATTTGTGTGAAAATTTTGGAGCAGTCCATAGCTCCAAAAGACGGAAAAGACGCCTGGAGGGTGGTTGGAGGTCCTCCCGATCCGAATCTAACCAGACACAGCTAAGAACCCATATTAGGTCTTATGTTGTGGCAATGGAAGCAGCGAAACGGCAGTACTTCGCCGCTTTCATTGCATCTGCAGAAAACCGCCCAGCCGCCCTGTTTAGGGTGACCCGCTCCCTCCTCAATCTTGGAGCGAGGGAAGACCCCTTGCAGGGCCGAGCTGAGGATTTTGCACAGTTACTGCAAGATAAAATTGCTCAGATCCGGACTGGGCTGGACTCTGACTGGACAGAATCCACTGAGGAGACTGGGGCTTGTCTTGGCGGGGACATCTGGGTTGAGTTTGAGCCTGTTTTGTTGGATGAAGTAGATAGGATTATGGGTCAGCTGGGGACCTCCATGTGTTTATTGGACCTGTGTTCCTCCTGGCTTGTTTTGGCAGCCAGGGAGGTGACCGGAGACTGGATCCAGGCTGTTGTCAACGCTTCGCTGAGGGAGGGGGTTTTCCCCACTGCACTCAAAGAGGCGGTGGTTCGCCCTCTCCTCAAGAAGCCCAACCTGGACCCTGACTCCCTTAATAACTACTGTCCAGTCTCCAACCTCCGCTTTTTAGCAAAGGTTGTCGAGTCCGTGGTGGCACAGCAATTCCCTCAATTCCTGGAGGAAACTGACTACCTGGATCCTTACCAATCTGGTTTCAGGTGTGGTCACAGCACGGAAACGGCATTGGTCGCCCTAGTGAATGATCTCTGGCGGGCCCGTGATGGGGGTTGTTCCTCCATCCTGGTCCTTCTTGACCTCTCAGTGGCTTTCGATACCATCAACCATGGTATCCTACTGCAGCGACTCGGGAGGTTGGGGATAGGAGGCATTGTTCTGCAGTGGTTCTCCTCCTATCTCTTGGGCCACTTGCAGTTTGTATCAGTGGGGGGTCAGAGATCCTCCCAGAGGCCCCTCACTTGTGGGGTGCCTCATGGATCGGTTCTCTCCCCCCTGCTCTTTAATATCTATATGAAGCCGCTGGGTGAGATCATTCGTGGTTTTGGGGTGAGGTATCACCAATATGTGGATGATGCCCAGCTTTATATCTCCACCCCGGATCACCCTAGGGATGCCCTTTCCATCATGTCCCGTTGCCTGGAGGCGGTGCAGGCTTGGATGGGTAGGAACAGACTCAGACTCAACCCATCCAAGACTGAGTGGCTGTGGATGCCAGCATCTCGGGATCTAGAGGTACCATCTTTAGTGATAGGAGGGGAGACTCTTACCCCCTCCGCTAGGGTTCGCAATCTGGGTGTCCTCCTGGATTCTCGGCTGCCCATGGATGACCATCTGATGGCCGTAACCAGGGGGGCCTTTGCACAAGTACGTCTTGTGCTCCAGTTGCGCCCTTTCCTAGATCGAGATGCCCTCGCCACGGTCACCCATGCCCTTGTTACTTCTCGGTTGGATTACTGCAACACCCTCTACACGGGGCTGCCCTTGGGATGCATCCAGAGGCTCCAGCTGGTCCAGAATGCAGCCGCGCGGGTAGTTACTGGAGTTCCTCGTGCAACACCTCTCCTGTGTGAGCTGCACTGGCTGTCGGTTGCTCTCCGGGTCCGTTTCAAGGTGCTGATGCTTACCTATAAAGCCCTACATGGCTTAGGCCCGGGGTACTTGCAGGACCATCTTCTGCCTTCCTCCCACCGTCCCGTGCGCTCCCACAGAGCAGGCCTCCTCAGGGTGCCGTCGGCCAAACAGTGTCGACTGGCGGCCCCCAGGGGGAGAGCATTCTCTGTTGGAGCGCCGACCCTCTGGAATGATTTGCCCACCGAGCTCAGAATAGCCCCGGACCTCCTTTCCTTTCGCCGCGAACTGAAGACATGGCTCTTCCGTCAAATAACTTGATCTGCTAGGGGTTGCACAAACTGTAATAATTTTAAATATGGTTTTTAAGGGGTTTTTAACTTATGTTGTTATTTTGTGATTTGTATTATTGATTGTTGTTGTAGCCGCCCTGAGTCCTTCGGGAGAATGGCAGCATATAAATCGCAAAAATAAATAAATAAATAAATATTTCCCAAGTTATTTATTAACACTTTTCTACTTGTGTTTTTCCCCCACAGGATTCGAATCTTACACTGTACGCTGAAAATCCAGACTTAACGTTGTGTTTCCAGAACACTATCTTGGCTTGGATCCCATGCATCTATCTTGGGTGCATATTGCCATTTTACCTCCTTTATCTAAAATACAATAATCGAGGCTATATTGTATTGTCTATGCTGAACAGGTTCAAAACGGTAAGATCTTTACTTCCCCAAGGCACTATATAGACAGTAACAGATGTGCCAATCTTTTAAACAATTAACTTACAAGAATAGATAAAGTACTGTGCCAAATGAGTTAAGATGAACAGAGTCCAATTGTATCTTCTATTTTGAAGCTTATGATTCAGCATGACAGCAATTGAGCAAGTAGATGAACTGGGAAACACTGAAATAGAGCTTGATTTTATTAAACAGTATTTCAAAGTGGCTGCCATGTTTTTAATACTCCTGCCACTAATGAGTCAGACAGTTTCTGAAGAATGAAAGACTTTAGAATTGTTTTGCATCATGCATAATGAATTGGACATGCATGACATCACATGCTCGTGACTTGCGATTTTATTTCCATGTTCTCCATTAACTCTGCTTGTTGGAAGCTGGTTGGGAAGCATGCGAACGGTGATTGCATGACCGTGAGGAGTTGCAATAATCATAAATTATTTGCCAATTATGGGCAAATGATGATCACATGACTAAGAGACACTGTAACAGATATAAATATGAGGATCGGTTGCAAAACTTATTTTTTTTTAATTCATTTAAAATGAATTACAACTTCATTGTAATTTTCAATAATTCTTAAATGAGGTAGTCCATAAGGTACAGGTTGTCCTCCATTAATGATGGTAATTGGGATGAGAATTTCTGTTGCTAAACAATGCAAAGCATAGTGTCACATGGCCACATCACTTAACAATGACAATCCTGGCAGTCCTGGTTGCTGCTACAGTATTAACCAAATCCCACACAGTCATTATCTAAGACCTACCCTGATCTACGCATCTCCTAACTTGGTCTCTCCCAGCCTCAAACCTTGGTAAGGTAAGGGGCTGTCTCCTCCAACTCGCTCTGCTCACCTGTCTCCCCCTCCCATCTGTGCTCTTTTAACCATCCTGCACTCCGCTGGCCCTGCTTGCATTCTAATGTGTGACACAAGTGTGGAGGTTGGTTTTTTTTTTCACCATGATGTCATAGGACACATCTTGTCATTTGGTTCCCCTTGCCCACTCCTCACAGGTGTTCATGTTCTCCTTCACCTCCGTGGCTATTCATAAAAAGCCACCTTACAAGTACTTCAGGAGAATTATGAGTGTTTAATGTAAATGCTCCCTTTAGCTATCAAATTAGTTGTTGTTATTAGTTGCGAAGTCGTGTCCGACCCATCACGATCCCCTGGACAACGTTCCTTCAGGCTTTCCTGTCCTCTACCATCCTCTTTCCTGTCCTCTACCATCCTCTACCATAACCTATAGTTGTGGTTTTGTGGTTTATTCTTAGTACTGTAGTCTCCCACTAGCTCCACTATTGCTAGGTACTCCAAAGTCCGCTAGATACTGGGCTGCTCCATATGAACCATGGGCAAAAATTCTGATCTTGGGCCTTTGGGATCTAAATGATAATGATAACATTCAAACCCACCCATTGCTAAGCAGATCAAAACCAGAGTGTTCTGCTCATTTGCAAATTAGAACTAACTTTTCCTCACAGCCCTTTTCTCTCTCGTTCTTTTATCCCCTTTATTTAAAACATTGTTATGGAATGATGTAAAGCTCTAATCTTTGTACTGAGCAGGTTTAAACATAACTAAGCCTCCTCTGTGCCATTTGTACAGCTTGATTGGTAGTTCACGGATCCTGAGAATGCTTTTTCGGGCTTGTTTGCTTATGTATGTAGGTATGCATGTATGTGTCTAACAAATTTATAAGGCTGCACAACTCGTGCATGTTGATTCCAGGCAGCTTACAGCGTTAAAATATCACAGTGTAAAAAACACATGGATAAGTAGAAACCTCTGAACACGTTAGCCCTGATTTATCAGTTTATTTGATTTGGGTGAGTTCACCAAGGAGGTAAGGCATCAAAACAGTATCCCATTGTAGAAAGGTTTTGGTTTGCCATAGGTAGCTATTAAACAGTGAAACAGTTTGTGTTTGTCATGAGTATATCTGATTGCCTCAAGGGTTGATTTGCTGAATGATAAAGATTCGGGACTCCCTTAGGTTAACTGCAAGCGTCTTCCTTCCTAATGATGTTCACAGGAAGGTTGCTAGAAAGAAAAAGAGGAGTCTTTACCCTCAAGTACATGCTATTATATGGGTTCTCGCTAGAAAATAGTGTAACCTCAACCCCTCCATCTCAATAAACCTTGCTAAGGATAAGTCTGTGATAATCATGCTTGGAAAGAATCACTTCCTGTTTTTAGACAGCTGCCAAAGACCTGATGATCCCCTTGTGGCTTGTTCAGGATTTGTTTCGTGGTTCCTGTGCTATTGGACAGCAGTATAACTTTGTCTCCAATTTCGTGTGTGTGTGTGTATGTATAGAGACGGAGGGAGAGGGGAGGGGGGAGAGAGAGACGGAGGGAAGGAGGGAGAGAGGGAGAAAGAATATCATTCTTTTACAAGAGAATTGCATAACAAAACAAGAAATCCAGAATTTGAAAGAAAATTGTGTCCAAATAAACATGGTAGGTTCAGGGACTGTAAATTAATTCTATTAATTTAAATCTGCAGACCAAATGAAATTGCCTAACAGCTCCCGCGTGCACACAAATCATGATGTTTGCTTGTTATTGCTTACGATGTAATTGATAATAAAGGACCAAGCTCCCCTTGCAAATTTTTGCCACTACATCTGCATTTTAAAATTTAGGAGATGTGTCTATCCTTCTCAGTCCATTTTAGCATCAGAGGACTTGCATATTGATTGTTGATAGTAACATCAATAACATTAATTCTTCCAGCAACATGTTATTTTGCCCTCTTCTTTTACTTAAGCAACGATTTACTTTCTATGACCATCTGCTGAGATTCTTTTTCTCACATTAGAAGGTACACATGAGCAGCAATACAATTTCCTTAGTAAGGTATACCGACTAGATGCCGTAGCACTACCCTCAAATGTGCAAGAATATTGCAGGAAAATTTCAATAAAATTACCAAATTATTCTCACTGCTCCTTTGACACAACAAATATCCTTATTTTAAAACAGGGGTGTCAAACTCGCATCGTCATGTGACATATCGTGACTTTTTCCACCTTCGCTAAACCGGGGGTGGGCGTGGCCAGCACATGACCCATCCGGCCCATGGGCCATGAGTTGTTTTAAGCTAAGCTAAGTAGGAGATCAACTTTATTGGAACCCTTAGCTGGCAAAAGATAAGATAGGAATGGCAAGTGAGTATAAACTCTGGATTGCCAGCAAAGAAAGGCTTTTAAACTAAAATAAAGTGTGTATTACAGGCTACTAGTGCTGTAAATATTTGCAAATATGCTGAAATATAACTGGTTTTGATACATTTTGTGCTTTTGGAGCCTTAACTGTGATTGTCTTTCTCTCTCCTTATTATAGGCCTTTGCTTTTGTGCTTTGGGGGGTTTGCTGGTCCAATCTTTTCTATGCCTTCCATGAAATCACGCAGAACAGAACTCCATCACCTGTGTATTTTGTAACGCCTTTAATTGCTGGCATCACAATGGTAGGTGTGCCTTTCTCTTTTTACTGTTGTTATTTGCATTTTGAAAAGAAATGTGATGATTGGAAATATTTTGCTTAGCTCAAGTACTGCAGAGCCACGGAAAACCAGGGGATAGTTCCATTTTCACAGCCCATTCATTTCCTTAGTAGCAGAAGTTGTTTGTGCTGCTGTTCAGTGATATCAGCAAAAAGGGAAGCATTCTGGAGCGTAGAACAAAGAAGGTTTTGGATCTGGTAACCCCCTTCCATCTTCCAAACAGGAAGCTGGATGGGGGGTGGGTGGGAAGAGCAGTGAAAGCAGTTGAAAGAGATAGATTGCAAAGTTTGATGGCATGAGCAAAGGATCTTTCTGTGGCTCATTAAAGCACCTGAAACTTTTGGAACACTGGGGAAGGTGTTTTGAAGGCTTTCCCCAGCTGTCTGCACATATATGTGCACATATAGCCATTGTGCACACATATGGAAAACACATGTGGGAAAGCCAACAAGCTTTTGCAAACTGTATTGTTAGTACAGCTCTAATGCACAGAGAATAAATTCTCAATCCTTGGAACTGGTCTTCCTTTCCCCAGTTGGATTTGGGATTTGATTGTTCTCTACCATAAAGTGGGATAATGAATTACATCTTCTACTGTCCAATAAAAAGAAGGCAAGAAATTGAAGATCTGCCTTGTGTGCGCATGCTTTAATTTAAAGGAGAAAAGACAAATAGATCTTGGCAAGAGTGGAAGATGTAAGATGCAAACTGCTGATTTTGAGCTGCTGATTGGTCCTCATTTGCTTTTTGTCTGCAGCTCTGAGATTGTCTTAAGGTGTACCACTTAAAAAAGAAAAAAAAACCAGTTTCTTGGATCTGTAGATCAACATCTACAGTACTGAAATATTATTTTAGTTCTGTAGAGAAGGAAGAAATTTGGCTATATATTTAAGTGGAATTAAATTAAAATTATTATGATTTCTGCTTTGGGTAAGCCAAAATGTTGAATAACATAACTGTTCCTTCATCCTTTAGTATTGTCTATTCTTCTGCCTAAAAACCAGGTCAATGTGGGGAAAAATCTTTTCTTTCCTTAGGCTCTAGAGAATGTTTTCACTGCTTTATTCTCTGAAAATTCAAATAATTTTTTGAGAAAAAATATTAAAAATCCAACACTAATATAATAAAGATTGAGTTAAGCATAGGAATGTGATATATGAATACCAGGACAGAGAAAGAAAACCAATGTTCTTATTTGCACAAATGAAGGTAACATTCACCATCACTGAGCCAAATTGTTTTTCATAAAGGAGACAAAAACAGTGGCTACCTAGTCCTAGCACAAAAATAATAACACCTCACACCATATAAAAACAGACTGTTTCAGCTAACTGCTCTTCTATTTTTTGTCGACAACATGATTTGGAGGTATCCATCAGGTCACCAGGAATTAATCTTGGGGAAAAAAACTTTAGGGAATTTAATCCGATTCTTATCATTCCATTTCACTGGATCTCCACTGACTTTCTTTTGCAGCTGGCAGCCATGTTGCTCATCCAGTATGAAAGACTTCATGGTGTCCAGTCCTCAGGGATCCTAATCATCTTCTGGTTCTTGTGTGTGCTGTGTGCTGTTGGTCCTTTGAGATCCAAAATCCTTGGTTCTCAAGCTCAGGTAAATTAGGTGTGCTTGTGTTGAATCGTGCCATATTTCCACAGAGTTAATGCTGGAAGGAAGATGCTTGACAGTCCATTTGTGGGAGTTATGAGTGAAGGGCTACTTATAGGCTGAGTTTGTGGCAGATGAATAATTTATCCAACTACCTAGATTAGAATAGCAGGTGGTGTTTCAGACTGAGATAAGGACACACTAATAGGTTTTGATCCTGCAGTGATACGGGAATAACAAGAGATTCTTCTTCCTAGGATCATGAAGGGAAAGTCATTTTGAAGCTTAAAGACCTAGAAATCTTTGAGAACTATTAAACCACGGAGGGAGAGGTAGCTCATGGTAGGCTTTTCAAAACATTGCACTAAAGCAACAGTGCTGTAAGGGAAAGCTTCTGGCCAAATGCTTGAAAAAAATAAAACTCCGGTTCCTGGGAGTTTTCCTTGGAAAGGGCTTTTCCACGCAGAGTGGGTACTATGATGCAGCTGCCTACTATATCTGATATAACAGTAACGGTATAATGTTCGAGGGTAGGACATGGTAAGTCACCTTTGTGATGGGAGTGTCTCTAGCAATATTTAATTATTCATCCTAAGTTTTCTTATTTACTACACGACCTTCTATCACCCGTAGTGTATTAACTAGACGAAACTTGAAAGTAAATAAAGGTAGTTCTTGAATTACAATGGTAATTGGGACCGGAATTTCCATTGCTAACCATGACCAATGTGGTCATGAAGCATGACATCATGTGACCATGTCACTCAGCCACAGCAATCCTGGCATTCTCTGTTGCCATCGTTAACCAAATCCTGTCAGTTGCTAGGTAAGGACCCACCCTGATCCAAGCCACTCTCAGCTTGCTCTGTCACAGGCCCAAGCCTTGGTAAGGCAAGGAACTGCTTCCTGTTCAACTTCCCTCCCCTCCATCCCTCTCAACTCTATCCTTTTGGCTGGCTTGCACTCCTCTGTCTCTTCCAGCCTGCCCTCTGCTGGCCCTGCCATTCTGCCAGCCTTGCCACCTTGTGCTTGCTGGCCCTGTAGGCCCTGCTGACCCCAGCTGTCTTTAATCTCTACCTCCCCCTGCTGAGGAGTTGCCCCTGGCCTGGCCCTATGCAAGGCAATTGTTGGCTGTGTTGGCTCAGCCTTCTTCCCCGGGCTGAGCCTGCCATTCTCCTAATTGCAAAGGCTGTTCTCATGATGCTTTGAAAGGACTCTGAAGGTTCCTGAAAACTTTCCAAAGCATTGCAAGAAGGGCCCGTGCACTTTGGGAGAATGTCGAGTATGGCCTTCTCACAAGGCTTTAGAAGCCTCAGAAGTCTTCCAAAGCATCATGAGAATGGCCCATGCAGTTTAAAAAACAGTGCAAGCCGCTTCGAGAAGGCCTAGCATGGCCAGCAGCTGACTGACATAAAGCCAAGCCAGGCATGTCTCTTAAATAGCAGGAAAAATGCAGCGAAGGTCAGCTAGAGCTTGCAGGGCCAGCAACAGAGGGCGCTAGGGTAGCAAGGTTTCCAGAGTCACACAGCTAGCGGAACATAGGGTGATGGTGGCAGCTAGGCAACTGTAGTCCTGGGGTGGCACTTCTCGGTGGCACCAGCAGCACCAGGGATGAAGTAGAGCATCAGGGGTGGTGGTAACCAGCTGAGATTGCTAAAACCCTGGGCCACTACTTCAGTCTCATCACCCTGCCCATGGTGCCAAGGAATACAGCTACGTAGGACAGCCAAAAGGACAGAATTGTGGAGGGTGGGACAGGGAGATAAGCAGGTGTAGAGAACTGAAGCACCTGAAGTTATAAGTGAGGGTGACTGTCAAGACTTTGAATTTTGATCATGTGACCATGAGGGTGCTGTAATGGCCATAACTTTTGGACCAGGCATAAGTACCATTCATTCAGCAGCACTATAACCTCAAATAGTGACTGAACAAATGTTGTAACTCAAGGGACTGCCTGTAATCCAAAAGACAGAATCCTCCTTTCTGTCTTGCAAATCTCTTTATTGATTATATAAGACGTTAATATGTCAAATCAGAATAGTCATGTTTTACCTTTCATGGTGTTATTTACCATCTTAATGAAATTCATCTATTAATTTTTTTCAGGGTAACATTATATTGTTCTAGTTCATTCTCATTGTTGCCTCAAATGTACAATTTCGATATGCATTGAGAAAGCAACATTATATTTGTTCGTTATTTTACTTTTCCCTTGCTGATTGCCACTGTCTCTTTTTAGGATCAAATTGAAGGCAGATTTAGGATGATCATGTTTTATATCTACTTTGCACTGATCCTTATTGAATTTATTCTTTCGTGTTTCAAAGAAAAGCCTCCGTTCTTTTCTCCTGTGAATCTAGATCCGGTAAGTAAATTTTTAAAATTTTTTCCCCTAGAGTTTCATGAGTGCTGAATAATTGGTTTGTTCATGCCAGTTTTGTTTTCCTGAGATGCTCGTCAAAACCTATCTTCCCTCCCAACTTTGTGTAGGCTGCAATTTATACTAATTGGGAGATGGTAGCCTATGATCCTGGCCCCACTTCTTGCTTTTGAAATCTTAGTTTTGCAGCTGCTGGAGCCACCAGGCAGATTTGCTAAAACTCAGTGCCACAGTTTCCTGCTATTTTTAATTGAAAAATACAATGACAGTGCTGTGTAAACTCTAGAATGAATTAAAATACTTTTATAAAAACAAAGAACTTCTACCAAATGTCCTCCAAACAGAAAAGAGGGGGGGGGGAAACAGCATGAGAGGGTTCCATGCATTTTACACTCTCCCCTTCAGTGTAAGTCATTGCCTTCTAATATGATTTCATTCTCTTCTTCTTGAAAACTGTGAAATGTAGCCTCTGGCTGCCAAAAGATCACACAGCCCAGTCACAGTTTATTGCTCTGTTTCTAGTCAGTGTTAGAGTGAAATTTGCCTCTCAGCGATCACTAATGAGAACCCCCCTGTAATAATAAAACTCACAACATTTATTGTCCTTTGACTACCAATAACCCATTGACCATTCAGATGCAAGAAAGGAATGAGGAGTGAAGCTGGGACTAGTTGCCAGCTCATTCTGAGACAGAAGGCAGCTTGTAGAGACTGGCTATCTTCATTTTTATGAGCTTTCTGTGAAGATAAGGTCTGCATCTAATTAAAGATGGATTAATTTCACAGCAACGCTCCCTGTAAAAGGAAAAAGAAAAAAAAAACCACACCCAACCACAGGGAAACTGGAGCAGGAGTTTGCATAGCTGATCTAGGAGTGAACATGTTTAGTTTCTGCAGAAAGGGTAATTAGCAAGGAAAATCGGTAAATAGAAGAGCATCTGTGCAGTTTGTTTACAGAAATGCTTATTCTTGTTTAATGAGATTCACTGCAAACCATATAAAATCCCCAGGGCAGAATGTTGACTTGGAGAACAAAGAGCTAATCCATTTTGGTTCCAGAGGACTTCTACTCACCCATAAGGAATTCCCTTTCCCTTTCTCCTTATTATATGTTCTTACACTTTCCCCCCCAAGAAACTTTCCATTTCTCGGGAGCAGGTTTTGAAAACACAGGGACTCACAGAGAACAGAGAATCTGATCCATCCCCGGTGTCCATTCTGCTGGTAGTTAGACTTCATGAGATATCATTTAGAAAGCAGCAATAAGTCAGGTATATTTTATAGCTCCTCTTTGAACGGTGTATGGGCGTGTGGAAAATATTGGGCTAATCAAAGATTATTTCCATATTCCCTAAAAAGCTGTGCAAGGACTAAGAGCAGAGTGTTTTCTTTTACTCTGTCCCACCTGGCCTTTATTAAGTCTTCTGGAAGCTGGTCAGAGAAGTTCCTTATCCTCAGATACAAGACTCTTCTGTGTTTCCTAAGACAGACATAGCAGAACTAGACTTCCACTCTTTGTTTTGGATGGTTGATAGCAGAAGTGATTTGGAACCCCACCACTGCATTCAACCGCTGCTCAGGATTCAGGGCGAGGGAACTGGAAGTTGGAGGTGAATCCTTCATTTCATACAAAGATTCATTTCATACATATTTACATTCAAATTATTTTGAATGTGTAATGTGATCTTTCACAGCAAGTTTAGCTAAAAAATAACATTGACTTCTTTTTCTTGTTTTGTTTTCTTCTTAATCTCTCCAAAAATTTGTCATAGAATCCCTGCCCAGAATTAAATTCTGGTTTTCTTTCAAGGATAACATTTTGGTGGTTCACAAGGTAAGCATGGTTTTTCACATTTTATTATGTTCCTTTGATATTACTGGAGAAGTGCCAGTTGAAAAGCTATCCTTTGTGTTCTTGGTGATCCAGCTACATTCCTATATAGAAGTACTGTTTTGCATGCCATTCATGTACATTTCATGCCCTTTCCTCCTTTTGCTAGAAGTTATATGTTGGTAGGGTAGAGGTGAGAGCCAGTTTAGTATTGTAGCCAAGGCACCAGGTTAGAAACTGGGAGAGTGCAAATTCTAGTCCTGCCTTAGACATTATTAAAATTGGCAACCTTTAAAACAGTTTTTCAGTTTCAAACACAATGGTGCAACCTGGATTAATTTTATAAGCCCCCACAAGACCCTAATTTATAGAAAATCACACACACACACACACACTAAAAGAACAAAACATGCAAACTAAGTGATAGAAAAACAAAAACAAAGTGGCTTTGGTATGGAGGTGAAGGTATTAGGATTAAGACGAGGGAGACATAAATTCAGGTTTACCACAAAAATCTCCCAAATGAATTTAGCCTCCCCACCTCTATCTCTCCCCCTCCCTCTCAACAACCTATTTTCAGGAATTGCTATTATGGGGATAAAATGAAGGGGAATCCCATTCTTTTGAAGGAATGTGAAAATTAGAAAACATCTAATTTTTAAAAAGTGTTTGAAGCACTGTTTTTGGGAGATGAGACAGGAGGCTGGGGTTTTTTTAGAGACTGTTTTGTATATTACCACTGTGCAAAGCAAACTACAATGCATGAGGGGGTGACTCTTCTGGATCTTGAGGCCAGGAAATAGCTGCTCGAATAAGACTCAGCATGGCTGCTTCAACTGGTGAATTTTTCACCAGTTCTCCCAGTAGAGGTCTGTTCTAGGCATGCCCAGGTTTACCCAGGAGACTTCAGGGGAGTCTTGAAACAGTTTCAATGAGCCTTTTTTGGTCAGGGAGCAGATTCAGAATGACACCACATTGGTGAGTGAAATATTTCATGGGATGACTTGCAGAGCCCTATCAAATATTGTTACTGCTGTGGAAGAAGAGAAATGGGTTGTTATGCTGGACAAAGCCCTGAGCTTTCTCTTTGAATATGCCAGCTTTGATGGTCTTCCTGTAGTTACAACCAATCCATGTTTTATTTGGCTACATGCTTGGTTAAATACATGAACACCCTTGCAAACCATTAGTACGTTGAGAGGTAATCCTCCTCCCTCTTAAATTTACAACATAGTTGATTTGCACTGTGAACTGACCAATGCATATTCCTTCCCATATACTAGAAGCAAATGATATTGGCCAAGGGCAAGAAAATACGCAGCAGATGGATAAATTATTAGGACGGTGCAAAACATTTGAAAAATGAATTTTGCAATGCTTTTACAACTTTTGAAAGCAGCCGCGTCACCTACAGAGCTCACATATGGCCCATGGGACCTTCTCATTACAGTATTGTGCACACAGAGACAACTAGGATAACTCTGTGAGCCTTGCGAGAGATAAACTGCTTTGGCATTTTGAAGAGAGGGGCTTTGTTGCTTGTTAACATGCATTGTGGAATAGTTCTTTCGAATGCTTTGCATGCTCTGTAGGTTTGCCCTTGGAGTAGTGGAGAGAGAAATTAAGATAAATGCCTGCCGTCAGTGGAGGTATTTGCCAGTTAATGTACAAAAAGGTTGTTTGTCCAGACTGACTCAGAGTTATTAATGTGCTTTTGTTACTGTTGTCTAGTTTGGCAATACAAGGCTATAAGAAGCCTCTTGAAGATAAAGATTTATGGTCTCTGAATGCCGATGATAAATCCGAAGTGATAGTCCAAAACCTCCAGAAAGAGTGGGACAAACAAAAACAACGTGGGAAATTGTAAGTTGGCTTTGTTTCGATTTGTTTGTTTGTTTGTTTTAAAAAAGTCATTTCTGTACTTCTGTTTTTATGAATAAAATACAGGGCATTTCTGTATGGTAGCCTAAACCACTAGTCACTTGTGGCTCCCAACGTGCTGTGGGTTGATAGCAGGATTGGGCTGCTGCTCAGTTCATACTCAGGCCAATGCAGGACCTGATAGGTCATTCCCCTGTTTTTGATCCGTCCCATCTATCTTCTCTTCTTCTTTATTTATTTTATTTATTAGTTTGATTTATATGCCGCCCTTCTCCGGAGACTCAGAATGCCTTACAATACGTTAAGCAATAGCCTTCATACTTTTGTATATACCTGCTTAGTAGGGCTTTCGGCCCACCCTAAGCGGTGTTCTTTTTTATACAAAGTCAGTTTATTCCCCCCACAATCCGGGTCCTCATTTTACCTACCTCGGAAGGATGGAAGGCTGAGTCAACCTTGAGCCTGGTGAGATTTGAACTTGCAGTAATTGCAGGCAGCTGGCAACTAAAGTGCTACTTTAACAGCACTTAGTCCACTGCGCCACTAGGCTCTTATTGTGCCATATCCGTCATCAGACGCTGCAATCATGTTGGCAATCCTATTTTTATCAACAGCTGCACGAAAAAGTGCTGCTGAGTTTTGTCCAAACCAGTCCCTTAGATTTTGAAGCCATGATGTCCTTCTTCTGGACCTCGTTTGTCTTTAATATTTCCCTGGAGGATTAAGTGAAGTATGGTGTATTTTTCCGGGTTTCGCATCACATGTCCAAAATATTCTTTCACTTTTTAATGGTTTTGATGATTTCCCTTGGCTTTCCCAGGTAGTTTATCATCTCCTCATTATCATCATCTCCTCATTCCCATCTATGCAGGGAAGTTATTAGATGCTCATGGAATGTAGGGACTAGAGGCTAAAACATATGAAGAACGGTTGCAGGAACTGGGTATGTCTAGTTTAATGAAAAGAAGGACTAGGAGTGTTCCAATATCTGCCACAAAGGCTGCCACAAAGAAGAGGGAGTCAAGCTATTCTCCAAAGCACCCGAGGGCAGGAAAAGAAGCAATGGGTGGAAACTAATCAAGGAGAGAAGCAATCTAGAACTAAGAAATTTCCTGACAGAACAATTAATCAGTGGAACAACTTGCCTCCAGAAGTTGTGAATGCTCCAACACTGGAAGTTTTTAAGATGTTGGATAACCATTTGTCTGAAGTGGTGTAAGGTTTCTTACCTAGGCAGGGTGTTGGACTAGAAAAGGGGTGGGCAAATATGGCCCCTTTATGACCTGTGGACTTCAACTCCCAGAATTCTTGAGCCAGCTTGGCTGTCTCAGGAATTCTGGGAGTTGAAGTCCACAGGTTGTAAAAGGGCCACATTTGCCCACCCCTGGACTAGAAGACCCCCAAGGTCCCTTCCAACTCTGTTATTCTGTACAAGCCTCCCTGTGCTTGCCTTTTTCATTTAGGGTTTGGTACCGTGTCTCCCTGAAAATAAGACTGAGTCTTATATTAATTTTTGCTCAAAAAGGCGCATTAGGGCTTATTTTCCAGTTGGGTCTTATTTTCAGGAAAAGATGGTAGTCCTTAGTGTTTGCTTTCTTTCATGGATATCCTCCCCCACCTTCCTGTGTTTGCCTGTCTTAATTTTATGCATTCCACTTATTTAACCTTTTTATTTAATTTTTAAAAATTTTTAATGGCTCGTTCCATTGAAGAATAGAATAGAATAGAATAGAATTTTTTATTGGCCAAGTGTGATTGGACACACAAGTAATTTGTCTTGGTGCATACGCTCTCGGAGTACATAAAAGAAAAGATACATTCGTCAAGAATCATAAGGTACAACACTTAATGATAGTCATAGGGTACAAATAAGCAATCAAATCATATTAGGAAACAATATCAATATAAATCGTAAGGATACAAGCAACAAAGTTACAGTCATACAGTCATAAGTGGGAGGAGATGGGTGATAGGAATGATGAGAAGATTAATAGCAGTGCAGACTTAGTAAATAGTTTGACAGTGTTGAGGGAATTATTTGTTTAGCAGAGTGATGGTGTTCTTATGTCTAGTTGTTCTGGTGTGCAGTGCTCTATAGCGTCGTTTTGAGGGAGGAGTTGAAACAGTTTATGTCCAGGATGCAAGGGGTCTGTAAATATTTTCACAGCCCTCTTTTTGACTCCTGCAGTATACAGGTCCTCAGTGGAAGGCAGGTTGGTAGCAATTGTTTTTTCTGCAGTTCTAATTATCCTCTGAAGTCTGTGTCTGTCTTGTTGGGTTGCAGAACCAAACCAGACAGTTATAGAGATGCAGATGACAGACTCAATAATTCCTCTGTAGAACTGTATCAGCAGCTCTTTGGGCAGTTTGAGCTTTCTGAGTTGGCGCAGAAAGAACATTCTTTGTTGTGCTTTTTTGAAGAAACTATTATTGTACTTTCTGGAGTGTTTTCTCTTTTCAATTTCCTCAGAGGTAGCAGTTCTCTGATGAGGAATTCAATACAATTTGGTAAAAGAATGTCTTTATAAACAGCAGAACCAAGGGGGAAATTCTGTACACATCATAAGAACTTCTTGAAAGGGCAGATTGTATGCCATCATAATCCATATTCTTTGTTAAGAAAATACAGACTCTGAATCCTGAAAGTACTGTGCAGATTAATTTGCTTTTCTGCATAATTTACATCACCTTTTCTAGTTGTAGGAGATGCACGGAATTGCATACTTTTAAAAACTTACTTCCAGAACTTCTTATCCAACTGCATTGTACTTTATCAGATTTTATCTTTTATTAAAGATTCTATCTTCTACAACTCTCAGACTTTGCCTTTTGTATGGCAAATTGGAGAGAAAATGGATTTTCTCAGCAAAATCATTGAAACAGAACATTCATAGAATGGTTTGAGAATACCAAATGCAATTCTGTATTAAGCTAAATTAAGCATGCTGGCTGAGGAATTTTGGGAGGGTCCACACATCTTAAAGTTACCGTATTTGAAAAACACTGAACTAAATGAACAAAATCTGAATTTTCAGGCTGGGAAGATTTAAGGGTCAAATTGGTGTCTTAAACCAAATACTATTTCATCCCTTACATTTCTGCCAATGTAATCCCAAAAAGTGACCCTCAGGATAATTGTGCCATAGCCTCTATGATAGCCCCCAGGCTGAATTATCCTCCTGCCCTGCAGTCTGTGAAAGCATCTCAACATCACATCTTATCAAAAAGAAAGTTAGAAAATCAGGGAATTATCATCTAAATTTCCACAGAGATGGGGAATCTCCCCACAATCAGTGATAACATGTAAAAACAAACTTTTTTCAGCCTTTAGGGGACTAGAGAGGTTTCATGCCATCATCAGAGGAGCAGCCTTAGCATTTTTGCTTCTTTTGGAGAAGTTTCAAATGGATGGTACTAAAATCAATGTATTAAGGTTACTGAGTTCATAAAACGCCTATTTACACTTTTTTGTATCAAGAAAATTTTTAAAAATTTCCATTATAAACTGGTGATTTGAATTTAAGAAGAAATTAAGCATTATAGACATGGGGCTTTAATGCTTAATAAAGAAGAGGAATTACACTGCAGCTCATCAAGTTAGCACCTGGAACTGTCTCTGCGTAAGCTTTGGAAAGTTAATTCAATATAGCAAAAAAAAAAAAAAAACCCAAGGATACAGTTGGTACTGAGATTGAGGCTTCTGGATTGGTTGGACATGGAATAGATACCTGGCTGTTTCCTTTTTCTTATCACCGGGATAAAAGGAACTTTTAAAATATGATTCAAGCTCTTTTCAACCAAATTTCCTTTCCCCTTTCCTTCCCTTCCCTTTTTGATATTCAACTTTTCTGACCTTCTCCAAAAGATTGGCATTTTGGAATCCAAGCCTATGCTATGCTTTTGCGTCCCCATTTTATTGACAGGGTTAAAAAAAAACCCAAGGTTAAATTCTGTGCTTATCAAGATGAAACAAAGACTCTGAGGAATAGAAGTCACTATCTGGATGAACCTTGCAAAGAGGCTGCAAGAGAGATGACTTTTAATGTTTCCAAGAAGAAGGCCATTGTTTGGCAAGCATACAGACCTTGATTAACCAAGTCTGAGAATAAAATGGCCTATCTGTGAAGGCTTGTAATGCAGCAAATCTTCACATCCAGGATCTCACCCTGATGCCATAATAATGAATGTGCTTTGCTTTAAAAATTCCATGAAGGTACCTTCTGAAGGTATAAAATTTGAGCTAGCCGGGCTTATTTTGTGGCATTTTTTTCTGTTTCACAAAACAAAAACTCTTTTGCGACCATGCCTCTTCCAATAACTTTGGAATAATATTATTAAAGTGAAACTGTTTTGAACACAATCGGTTGCTCTATTTTTATTTTTTTATTTTTTTAGGAGCAAACACCTTTTCATTTCTGGACAGTATTATGCCATAATAATGGTCTTACTAGAGCTGTTCCAAAGCTACATTTGCAGATTCCAAGACTGCTTGTCCTGCTGTTCAAGTTTCTTATTTGTAACAGGACTCTTCTTTTCAATTGACTGAAACAATGTCTTTCTTTGTCTTAGGAAACATGATGTATCTTATACAAAGGACTCTAATCAGGAGATGAATCACATAAATGAAAGTCCAGGAGAAACAGAACTCATGTTAGACATTCCCACTAAGGAGAAAGAACCTTCCTTTTTCAAAGCCTTACTCAGAACTTTTGGCCCTTATTTTTTAATTGGCTCCTTCTTCAAAGTAATCCAAGATCTGTTGTCTTTTGTCAATCCCCAGTTGTTAAGGTAAGCTCCATTTTCAACCTTCGTTCTCAAGGGCAAGAGAGTTTCCACGCTCTTTTTAGATTATATATTAGTACAGCTTTCTGCAGTCATTTGGGAAATCTGGGAACATGATCCCCAAGACATGGGGGGAAGGAGGCCAAATTGGAGAAGATTACTTGTGAATAAAAATGATAGATTGAATGGAATATATGGAGGTATCCCCTCTAGGCCTGCTAATAGCATGAGTAAGTGACATAATATTCCCCTTATCCCATGTTTCTCTCCAATTCACTGTTAGACTTGCTCATATTCAAAATGCATTTTCTAAGAGGAAATAAATTCTGTTTGAAATCGCTGTTCAGATTCCCAAGTGTAAGTTGTCAAGTGTAAAAATTACACATGTGCATACTTCCCTGCAATTGTGATGTTGTGAAGCTGTAATTTGCTTCAGTTCTCAGCATCTGCACCCTCCATATTAATCCAATGAAGCATTATACTTTTGTTATTTTTATATGCTGAAATGGACAAGCTGTGGCCCTCCAGACAGTGCCAAATTGCAGATTCCTGCAACTCCGGCCAGCACAGCAGAGAAGCAAGGGATTTTGAAGATTGAATATTTTGGCAATTGAACAATATTTCAAGAATCTTAGCTTGCCTATCTCTGCTTTATGAATGCATGTCTTTTTCACTTTAAATGCTTTAATGGAAAACAAAATCAACATTACAAAATAAATAAAGTGTTTGAGATTATATTTTGGCCATAATTGGACACATGAATAAAGTTTGGTTCTTTCGTAAAGTTTGTTTGTTTGGGGGCTACTCTACCAGCGGGCTAAAAGGAAGTGATGTTTTGCTCTGCCCCATTAATCTTTTTATTTTCTCCTCCCTGTGTTGTCTGTTTATTTCAATCTTCTTTTTAAACAGCATGTTAATTAGCTTTGTGAAGGATAAAGATGCTCCCTTATGGTGGGGATACCTGATTGCGGCGTTGATGTTTCTCTGTGCTGTGCTGCAGACAATAATCCTTCACCACCATTTCCAGTACTGCTTCATTACTGGAATGAGGCTGAGAACTGGCATTGTAGGGATGGTCTATAGAAAGGTGAGAGCAAGTGTGTATCCTAACATATCAGGAGAGGTTGCAGACAGTCTAGAGCCCAGAGACCTTTGGGTTGTGTTTTCTCTCAAAATAAGAATGAGTAATACTAGAACTGTTGGCTGTAGATCAAATATTTATCTCTGTGTGTATATACCCTCTTGCAGAGTCTGAAGTGGTTTAATATTTAGTTGACTTTCCTGACGCAAGTACAATCAACAAATGGCAAATGAGTGTTGGGTAACTGCATATTAAGTACATCCTGATAGACTTTTGCTGCTTTTTGATAAATTAATAAGTCAGCCCTAGAGCTAGTTTGCCAAATTAGAGCAATTTTTGGATTTTTAAACTGTGTGTCCTATTCAGCTGTCTATTACTGCAGCTCTGTTCTGTGTCAAAATACTCTTCCATCTACCAGCTGCTGCTTAGTACAGAAAAGTGTCGAATAAGGAAGAGCTAATTATGTTATTAATATTAGCTACGCTCTGGCCTGATATTAATTGCAAATAATTTAAAGATCAATTGTTCACCAAATGCTGCTTCATCAGAATCTATAAATGGCATGCGCCATTATAAAAAGGAATGGAAATAATTAGATTAGGCAGAACAAAGTGCAACCATAATAATAAAACAGTTTACAAAATGATGCTTTGAACAATACTCTAACAAGGTAGTCCCCTCCCACAAGACATTGATAATCTTAAATTTCTGTTCCAGGCATGAGAAAACATGAAAAATGGAGATGAGTACCAGGAAGATGCATTCAGTTTAATTATATAAATTCAGTCTTAATTTCAATGGGAAATGAAAATTGCCTTTGTAAGATTGGCCTTGGAAAAGGTTTTGAGGCAAGTTTTTTGAAGGGAAAAAACTTTTCAAGTTGTAGAATAAAAAAAAGGAGATATTTGCAGAGGTTTTAGCAGAGACTTTCTAAGCAAATAAAACCAATCAAGACATTTAACAGAGTAAAATGAGGACCTAAATTGTTGGGAGCAATATGCTGACTCTGTAAACCGCTTAGGGAGGGCTGTGAAGCACTGTGAAGCGGTATATAAGTCTAAGTGCTATTGCTATTGCTGGTATTTGCAGTCTACTCAGAAATACTTTGAAATGCATTCCATGTCTACATGAATTTCTCCTGATGTAGTCTATTCTTTGTTACTCAAGATTCCTTAATCTATCCCTCAACTGTGGTCTCTGAACCAGTGAAACCACTCCAGTCAAGAAGACAGACAGCTCCAGAACTCTGTTCTATCTTGATTTCCTTGATTTTGACATGCACCTTGCTTATCTTTTCATCTTCTTTATCTAATTATCATGTTTTGCCTGGCTGGTATTCTAAAAACAATTCAGCCAGGTTGCTTTTCTATAACCTGCTGATAAGAGGCTTATGGTAGACCCTCACTTCAAGTCAGATGGAAGTAATACCTTTCACAACATTACTAGATGGGGACACAACAGAATCATGACCTATAGTCTTGCAGCAATAATCATATATAAAAATGGGTCTTTTCTAATTGACTGTCCATTAATCCCAGCAAGAAAAATTCTGGTTTTAGTTGAATGTTGATCTTTAAAATTCTTTGCTTCTGAACTCAGAAATTTCTGGCTTTTTTTTACAAGTCCACCAGGCATGATAAAATAACCCTTGATCTTGTCCATATTTCCAGGATAAATTTGAACAACTTTTATACATTCTAAATAATTTTCTGCAGTCATATACCAGCAGACATCATTTTATAAAAAAATCTCTTTCAGATTATAACATAATGTAATTTTCAATCTTTTACTCACATATTTTCCCACTGTTCATCAATACATTGTGTCCAAACTTCTTAGCCCATTTTATCATACAATACAGTCTTTCATTTGTTCTTCCATTTCAAATTTCAATAACAGTTTATAAAGGTAAAGGTTCCCCTCGCACATATGTGCTAGTCGTTCCCGACTCTAGGGGACAGTGCTCATCTCCGTTTCAAAGCCGAGAAGCCAGCGCTGTCCGAAGACGTCTCCATGGTCATGTGGCCATCATGACTAAACGCCAAAGGCACACGGAATGCTGTTACCTTCCCACCAAAGGTGGTCCCTATTTTTCTACTTGCATTTTTTACGTGCTTTCGAACTGCTAGGTTGGCAGAAGCTGGAACAAGTAATGGGAGCTCACCCCATTACGCGACACTAGGGATTTGAACCGCTGAACTGCCAACCTTTCGATCGACAAGCTCAACGTCTTAGTCACTGAGTCCTTTATACATTTTAGCAATTAAGTGTTCATTATTCCTACATAGTTCAACGTCAAATTCTGTCTTGTGTCACTCAGTTCCAAATGGCCTTAATTTTTTTCCCTTAACTGTGCATGCAAAAACCAGTTTCATTTAAAACTGAATCCCTCTGCAACCAATTGTTCTCTTGATTTCATCTTATTTTCTCAATGTTTCTGTTCTAACAACTCCTGATAAGCTAACTACTTTTCTTTATGTATGGTTTCTATCCTATAAAATGCTTCTTGTGCTGAAATCCATAAAGGCATTTCAAGGCACCATCTGGGTTTATATCTGTTCCATATTCTCAATATGGTACTTCCAATACAATTATTCTTAAAATTACACTGACTTTAACTTTATCATCATATAGAAAACCATGCTATCCGAACCTCAGATTGTACTCTTTTAATTCTAAAATTTTATTATTTTCTCAGGAAAACCCACTCTTTCATCCAGACTGACCACACTTTCATCCATTCTTACTACCATTCACACACACATACACATCTATCTATCTATCATCTAGTTAGCTAGCTAGCTATCTCAAATTGTATCTAGAAGTTACATAATTTTTTGGCAACTGAAAATCACTCTTGAATGATTTGTCAGCCCCTCGTGAATAAGTGGGCAATGCATGTTTGTAATGAGATTTAACATCAACACATATTCTAAGCTATGTTCATATATGCATGAAGTTCTTAGTAGCCTTCACAGCTGCTTCTGAAAACTTCATAAATGACTCTCCTTTCAGTAAAACCATTTTATTATTCAGATGTTTTGCATGCTTCCCATTCAATTATTCAGATGTTTTGAATGTCCCCCCATTCAATTATTCAGATATTTTGCATGTTCTCCAAGCTATTTGTGTAACTAAGATTGTATTTTAGATATGTGGGCTTATGTTTGTATATACAAATGAATGACTAATGCAGGAAAGAAGCTGGGGTTTTTTTTCATGATTATTCTAGAGAACAACTGCCAGATATATCTTAAGCCATGATACTGACTAGAGTTAATGGGCTTATGTTTATGCATTCAAATAAATAACTGATGTGGGAGAGAAACTTTACTGCAAACAATATTTGCCCGGTAGTTTATAAGCCATAGATCAGTGGATATTGGATGTGTTTGGAATATTGTATTATGGGGATCAATAAGTAGTGTGATAAGTATTTAATTATTACTTTATTTTTACCTATTTTATATCCACCTTTATTATTTTTATACATAATTCAAGACAGCAAACATATCTAATGTTCCTTGCTCCTCCTATTTTCCCCATAACAATAAAAGGTGATTGGGCCGAAAGAGAGTAACTGGCTCAAAATCACCTAGATGGTTTTTATCACTCTAGAACTCACAGTCTCCCAGTTTCTAGCCTGGTACCTCAACCCACTAGACCAAATGCCTTATTATGAAAGTCGTTACATTACCGACCAATAAGAAAATGATGCGTTTCAAATATTATCTTTATCATATTAGATTTATATCCTTTTTTTTTTTTTGTCACATGCTCAAGGCAGCATGTATGTTACTGCCTGCTGCAATTTTACTGCCTAATTTCATCACAGGAAATAATTTGAACTGAGTTAGAGGTGACCAGACCAAATGAGCTTTAATAACTAAAGGCAGACTGAGCGATATCTCTCTGTCCTAAAGACACATTGTCTTTCATAGTTCTATATTGTATCTCAGAAGTTCATGCAACAACCCTATATGGCAGACACTTTTGTTATTATAGTTGGGGAGATGGAGGGAATTATTTCACCAGATTGTTGTGGCCCGTCAGCGGCCTGCGCGGATCGTGGCTGATCCCAACGACGAGGAGGCTGGGGTGGGGTTGCACCAGCAGCCGGCACTCGCGTTGGACAGCCAGGAGGCTGAAGAGGATGTGGTGCCAGAGGCAGAGACTCAGCCAGGGCCTTCAGAACCTCCAGAGGCTCCTTCAAGTGGAGAGAGCGAAGTGGAGGAGCCTCTCCTCAATGCTCGAGCACGCAGGGCTGCCAAAAGGCAGGAGTGGCTACTCAGGAGGAGGAGGTCTCCTTGAGAGTAAGGTTTGAGGATAATTGGCCACTCCCTTAGCTTATTTAAGTCGCACGCAGTTAGTAATTTTTTGCTGGAAACAACGTGTAATTATTACAGAGCATTTTGGAGAGTGAGTGTCTTATCATATCTTGTTTTCTGGGCTGGTTGCCAACCTTTGCCGGACTTTGTTTATTCTTGGTATGTTATAACTTTGATAAGGACCGTTGGTGTGTGTCACAATCCTTGGGAATGCGGAGCTGGGGCAGAACACAGATGTAGGTAACTAAGAGATGAGAAATACATATGCAAGTCAGTGAAAAAAAATATCTACCAATATCCCCTTAAGCCATGTTGTAGAAAATGTGCTTCGTGAGAGTAAAAACATATAGTTAAAATATTTTCCTAAATCATTTGTATTATAGAATACTTTGTCTAAAATATTTGTCACTGTTTCTGAAAGGCAGAATAGCACTTCAAAAGCATGCAAATGCGAGTAGATAAATAGGTACCACTTTGGTGGGAAGGTAACAGCATTCTGTGCGCCTTAGCATACAATCAGGCTGGCAACATGACCACGGAAGTGTCTTCGGACAATCCTGGATCCTTGGCTAAGAAACAAAGATGAGTAGAGTCTCCCTGCTGTTAGACACAACTGGACAGGGGAAAACTTTACCTTTTTTTATAGATAAAACAGAGATTATCAATACCTTAGTGATCGTTAACCATGTTGGCCAATTGCTCCTAAAATAAATTTTCTGTTTTCTTTCTGATCCTGTTAATTCAAAAGCTAAGTCATCCAACTACATTCCAAAACCAGTAACTGGAATATGGCAAAGAGGAAGGAAGAATTGGGAGGAAGGGATCAAAAAAGATACATTGGGTTTGGTTTACATTTAATAATAAATAAATAAATAAATAATGAATTAATAATAATAATAATAATAATAATAATAATAATAATAATAAAAAATTAATAATTTAGGCAATAAATATAATTATTTCCCTCAAATATAATAATCTTTCTCTTTGTAACATTAAAAATTACAATATGTTAAAGAATTTTGGAATGCTCTGAGGACCACATCCAAGTTTTGAGGGGATTGCTTTGGATTAACATAGTGTAAGATTTTGCTGATGGTTGCAGAATATAGTTGAAAACATACTGAATCACTGTCCCTATCCCTTGACAGGCAAATTATATGAAAGGCATATAAAGTTAGAATGGGCGGTGCTATAATAATTAATGACATGAGGTTCAGTCTGTTGCAGTCTGTTGGAGGGTCAACATAGAGAGAAAGCCAGATTCAAATCCCTACATGACCATGAAGTTCACTGGATAAACCTGGACCAATCATTATTTCTCAGGATTAAACAGTGAAGAAGAGGAACATTTGCACCGTCATGAGTCTTTTGGAAGAAGAAGAGAATGCATAATGGAATTCTTCTCCCTGTCTTCTTAGTCTTTAGTCATCACCAACTCAGCAAAGCGCTCTTCCACTGTTGGAGAAATTGTCAACCTGATGTCAGTGGATGCCCAGAGATTCATGGACCTGACTACCTTCCTCAACATGCTGTGGTCTGCACCACTTCAAATCTTCCTTGCTTTATACTTTCTCTGGCAGGTATAGAACTTGGATTTCTTGCTATGTAAAGCTATTATATTAAATCTGACCTTGTACTAGAGAAACTCTAGTAGAGGAAGTCGTCTTAAAGACAATTGGTTGTTTCCGGTATAATGCAAAGCATGTGATTTTTGCAACTTTCTTAATAATCAAGTGATTAACTGAGGATACAATAGCCTATGCAGATTTAGTAGCAATAGATTTAGATTTCAAGAGCTGCAACTGGAATATGGAAGATATGGTTGTAGTGCTGGTAAAAGAGAAATGGTTTAAGGGATGGGGGAGGGGGAATTCTTATCTCATTCTTCCTATTCATTAAAATATTTATACTTTGCTAGTGGTTGACATCCTATCTGTTTTGTAATAATATTATAAAAGTCCCATGCAAATAAAAGGATTCCATTGAAAAGCTAATAGTTGTGTCTGGAAAAAGCAGGGAAAAAAATTACAAATTCTACACAACAGCTAAAAATACACCATTGTTTTGGCACATTCTTGGCACCATTATTATCTCTGGTTTATTCACTACTGTGAAAGTTATCTCAAACAGAAAAACAGCTTTGTGGGCACATGTTTGTTGTGCTGTCATCTCTGTACAGTACCATGCTTGCCACCAAAGGGTATGTTTGTTTGCCGTTATATTTTTAAAAGTGAAAACAACAACATGTTTCTGTCTAGAGTGCCAATGAAAAGCAGCCAAGGACCCATTTTGAAAAAGCAAAACAAAAAGACCAAGTTTTAATATTCCTACGTATTCTACACTATGTATTCTACAATGTAGAGAAAAAATGAAAATCGTTTGTGAGAATGCAAGAGTGTTCAGGACTAACAACATCCCTTGTTGAAGATTTCTTGATGGTTTTAAGCCTATACGTTTTTCTGAAGAGTAGCGAATGATGATTTCTACCATGTTTTAAATTCAAGCGACCAGAATAATAATGGGTGTATTTTACATTCTTTTAAGGCTTTGGGGCCTTCTGTGTTGGCAGGAGTGGCTGTGATGGTTCTACTCATCCCACTGAATGCTGTGATTGCTATGAAAACCAGAGCATTCCAGGTAGGTATATGTCCATAGTGATCATTCCTAATGAATTTCATTTAAAAAAAAAAAGGCAGGACAATTGTTTTCATGCTTGTCAGAAGAGCAACATGTCTTCATCATGGAGAGCTTGTCCATGCATCTCTTCATGGTTTTAGATCTGGGCTTTTCCTTGACTTTAGTCTGTTGGTGGCTCTTCACTAGTCTGATAACAAATTAAGCTGTACTTAAGTATGAACTTGTTTATTTTCTGCACTGTATACAGTTGGTTTGCCATATCTTTCTTCAGGATATTTTTCAATTTCCCAGTCTAGACTATAGTCCTAGGATTTCCTGGTGATTTGCATAATTTTTAAGATCAGATGTCTTAAAGCAATAAAACCAATATAATATTTCTATGTAAAAGCTCTTATCTTCTTTTCAAGGTTTATTGGATTAAAATGGTTAGCATACATATGAAAAGGAGAATGAATCAAGCAAGCTTCTCCACTAAGACCATTTCGTAAACTAGAATTGTTAAAGTGGTCAGAGCTAAACAATTGTATCACCCAGTCCACCTATTCTGTGGACCCAATTGGATGCACAGTGATAACTAATTGGGTGCATAAATTATACAATGTTTCGGGTCAAAAATGGAGAAATGGTCTTATAAGTAAAAAATATTTAAAAGCTAAGTTTTTCAATTAAATTGAATTTCAATTTTAAAGATAAATTTCAATTTTAAATCTTAAATTTTTTCTTACATGGTAATTTGACCATGATAAGTAAGTTCATATTTGTGTGCAAATCTGTAAAGAGAATCCATATCTTAGGCAGTTATAGTGTGTTAAAAAATTATCTATGCCAGGAAGGGTACAATTTGATCATATCTCAAATATTAATATTTATAGTCTATAATATATAACTTGTCATTTGCACTACTGTCTGGCAGATACATGAAACTATAGTGATAAACTTCATTTAAATCATTGATTGAAATTATCTTTTTCCCCCCTTGTTAATTCACATCTGAGATTTAAATTGTTTTGATTTAAATCAATCTATCTTGCCAAGCACATGTTTTGTCACTTTAGCATGTCAATAAAAAGAAATATTAAACTCTTGTAGAGTATAGAATTTGTACTGAAAAGATTGAATGACTTACTGTTCCTGATCTATGAAGCTGTGGTACTCTCCTATGAAAAGTACAGTTTTTACTTCCTTTCCCTCTATAAAAATGTTTATTTTTCTGGTAACCAATACAGCTGCTTCCAACACTAGGCAAAAATGCCATGCTTGCACAAAACCAGTGGTGATATTTTTAAAGTACCAGTTTCCTCTTCAAGATTCTTTTCCGTCTGATTTTCTGGCGCAGAGTGCGGCCGTGCGGGTGGTTATGGGAGCAACGTGGAGTTCCCATGTAACACCTCTCCTGCGCGAGCTGCACTGGCTCCCGGTGGTCTTCCGAGTGCGCTTCAAGGTTCTGGTTATCACCTTTAAAGCGCTCCATGGCTTAGGACCTGGTTATCTACGGGACCGCCTGCTACCACCAATAGCCTCCCACCGGCCAGTACGCTCCCATAGAGAGGGGCTCCTCCAGGTGCCGTCGGCCAAACAATGTCGACTGGCGGCCCCTAGGGGAAGAGCCTTCTCTGTGGGGGCACCTACGATCTGGAACGAGCTCCCCCCGGAGATACGGAGGATCCCGGATCTGCACACCTTCCGTCACGCGCTTAAGATTTTTTTATTTCATCAAGCTGGCCTAGCCTAAATCTTCTCCCCTTTTTAAATGTAATTTTTAATTTGTTTTAAATTACGGGGTATTTTAAATTCAGCCAAATTATTTAATTTGTTTTTAATTTATTTTAAATTTTTGTATTTATGTGTTTTATCTTGTGGCTGTTCACCGCCCTGAGTCCTTCGGGAGAAGGGCAGTATAGAAATTTAATAAAATAAAATAAAATAAATAAATTTTATGGAAATCTCTCTGTAAGAAGCACAGGACAAAGAGGTATAAAAGGCACTGAGTAATGATATTCTTTATATTTGTTTAGGTAGAACAGATGAAGTACAAAGATGCCCGCATTAAGCTAATGAATGAAATTCTAAATGGCATAAAAGTACTGAAGCTCTATGCTTGGGAATCATCCTTTGCAGAAAAAGTACTGGAGATTCGGCAGAATGAACTTCGGGTTTTGAAGAAATCTGCCTATTTAAATTCTATATCAACCTTTGCATGGATCAGTGCGCCATTTCTGGTAGGTCTCCTATGAACAAATATTCTTGTGAATAGTTCCTGAATATATGGAAGGTCAGTTATAGAAAGGGTTGCTTAGATAGAACTTGGACAACCTGCCATGGCCAATTCATTGCAGGATAACTCGCCATGGCCAACATGCTGCTGAATAACTCTTCGTGGGACAGTTCAACACTGTATTAATCATTTCCTTCAGTTACTTTTATTATTGGTGACCCATGTTTTCATCAAAATTATTGTAACTCTTGTATTTCTGGATTGACTTTATTATTATTGGCCATGGTTCCATTGAAATTAATTTAACTTTTATATTTGTTGAATTGTCCTACAGCGAGTTGTCCCATGGTGAGTTGACCACAATGAGTTGTCCCGTGGCAAGTTAGCCATGGCAAGTTGACTCATCCATCCTTAGATACTCTTCATGGAAGGCAGGGAATATTTGAAGATTGATTCCATCTTTGAAGGGACTACAAGATGAATTTCTGAGCTACCTAAAAATAATTGCACTTGGACAGAAACAGAAGATGGCTGGACTTAAATAGGTCACTTAGCAGAGCAATCTATCATTATAGAGAAATTTTTGTTAGAACTGAAATATAATCTCTGTCTCCTGAGGGATAAACATTATCTGGCTAGCCTTTTTCTTCTGCCAAATTCTGACACTATTTATAAAATAATCAAAATAGAATAGCATTACTAATAGACCCCAGATAAATTGTTTGAAAATCCCGGGAAGCTCACAAACAAAGAGTACACATTAATCCTGAAGAAATTTAGATTTGGAAGTGAAATAAATGAATTAGCAGTAGCCATAATCTACCTCTTGCAATGGCCAGCCAAATGCTCCCCCAAAACCATACAGGACATGTACTGCCTTGTTTGCCCAGTTTTCTTCTCTTGAAGATCCTGGTCAGAAAGAAATGTATGTTTGTTTTAAGCAAACTGTTGAAAAGTTAACTAAATGCTAAAACATTTCTACAATTCAATGTTAATTTAAGTTTATTCATCGGTTTTATATTTAAACTAGCATAAACAAATTTTCAGTTCTTTTTTTATCTTTACTATGGTATGGTTTCATGATACTGCTGGTGTCTTTACTGCTGTATAGTTTCATGATACTGCTGGTGGCTAAAGTTGATGGGAAGCTAACCAGCTTCCCACCAACTTTAGCCACCAGCAGTATCATAAAAATTTAGGTGTTGAATGAGAAAGAATCTTCAGGGATTGTACCGAGCCTTTAAGAAGGCATCAGCTTGCTTAACAGATATAAGTAGAAACTGTAAACTAGGATGTCTATTGTTGCATCCATTTGATGGAATAAAAAAGTTACACTAATATAATTCAATGCCAAGCCTCTATTTTGTGCAAGCTGATCATCCCAATTGCCTATTTTAAGTTTTACTTATCTAGTGAGAAAATTGTAACAGGAAAAACCTTCCTAGATAAATCATAACAATCCTGCTTCACTTTACGTTCTCCAGCTTTTGGACAAGTCCTCTTAAGTTTTTTTTGAAATGGCCCCATCTTTCTTCCTTTATAATAAAGCAACATAAGACAGGTGGTTAATTTTCATGCTTACATTTCCAGTCTAAGAAGTAAAAAATTCAAAGCCAGGGGTTGTTGATTTGCTGTTAAACCAGTCTGTGCTTTCTGCTTTCCAGGTTGCCTTGACTACCTTCGCTGTCTATGTCAGTGTGGATGAGAAGAATGTTCTTGATGCAGAGAAAGCCTTTGTGTCACTCTCCCTATTTAATCTCTTAAGGTTCCCACTCAACATGCTTCCTCAGGTCATTAGTAATATTGTACAGGTAAGAATGGACTTTTATCTTTTCTTTAAAAAATTGCACTGAATGCAAAGAGGACTGTAAGACCAACTATCTCGTCCCCTATAAATAAGACCAATGGCTGGCTTATGTGTAACGCCACTATCACATATGGGCTATAACAGGGGTCTGCAACCTTAAACACTCAAAGAGCCATTTGGACCTGTTCCCCACAGAAAAGAAAACACCGGGAGCCACAAAACCCTTCCCATGCCTGACTATTTATTGAGCGGCCACAAAACTAGTCTATGTAGTTGAATTAAACATTTTCTTCTGAAACTTTTCTTTTCTTGGATTTAGCCATGGTTGGCCTATCGGGGTTGAAAAGCTCAGTACATCGCATGCCGATGGGTGTTGCACATTGGTGGTTGCAATGCATATTTTGAGTGACAGGGAGCCGCAGCAGAAGGGTGAAAGAGCCACATGCGGCTCCAGAGCCGCAGGTTGCTGACCCCTGGGCTATAACAATATATGTCTTGAACATACCCAAATTTAACTCCGATTACAGTTCTTACTTTCTACACAGCTTCTTCTAGGAACTAGTTTTTTAAAAAAAAATCAGGCAACATGCTCACTGATTGATAACTTGGAGAATATTAGCTCAGTTTTACTAATAATGCAACCACTGAGCTCCTTTCAGGATCTAAATCAGAGTCCTAATTTTAACTTGGAAAGGCCATCACTTTTCAGTAGCTAACTTGTTACCTTAAGAACTTCTCAGAGATTCTGAAGCGTGACTGACTCCCACTAGTATATAACAGGCTGCTGCCTGTAACAAGACCTTTACATCCATGGCCGATGTTTTAAACTTCCTCAGAATATCTCACTTTCTCTTTTGGTAGGTTGGTATTGCAGTATAGTTGTCGGAAACTTGGAAATCTATGGGGAAACTGGTGTGGAAGGTTATTATTCTTGATATTCATCATTTGTGGAGAAATATGGAGAAATTTATGTATTCTATATTTCATTGTCTTTTAGCCAGCTAATATTTAATGGGAAGTTGAAAGCAAATGTTAATACACAAATGTAAAATAGGGATAAAGAATTCAATTTTACACCAACAGCCTAGTAGTAAGATAATTCGTCTCTCTGCTTCCTTTGTTTGTGCTTTATTTCCTTTTCTAATCTCAATTATGTTCACTTGTGTTGTTGCAATTCTAGCTGAAAGGGAAAAGGACTGTGGGAAGGATCCAAACTCTGATGGACAAATTTGTAAACTGTTATAAAATCAGCAAATTGTTATAAAACAATTGCCAAATGAATCTGCCACTGTAGTGTGTCTCCTTTAGCTTGGATCTAGTCTGGATCATACGCAGATATATTCTGCTGAATTGAGATAAATTATGACAAACATTGCAGCAGCAAATTTCACATGTTAAATTTATAATGTGCCCATCTCTCCAATTTTTTAAAATATATTTATATACCTCCAAATGTATTAAGTTGTTTTTCTCTCCAATTCCCTCCTCAATTTTAATGGTGGCTGGTTCAGAGTCTTCCAGTAAGTCATCCCATGAACTTCCATGGCTGATGTTGGCCTTGAACGTGGGTCTCCCCAGGCTTAGTCTAAGATTTTCAACAACCTAACAGTTTGAGACATAGACTAAGAACTGTTGTGACCATGAGCTGCTGTTTTCCCTTGGGAGGATTCTCAGAATATCCCATCTCATATTAAACCAGTCAGTTTTCCCATGTATTCCCCAGACAAATGTTTCACTACAAAGGATTCAACACTTCTTGTCACATGATGAACTTGATCCAAACTGTGTGGAAACCAAGTCAATTACTCCAGGTAACACTCTACTTTGATTGATATAAAAGCATGGAAGGTGAAATTGGGTTTGTTTACATGGGAGGAGCGAGGGCTAGTTTGTAACTTCTACACAGAGAACCCTTACCACAAATTGACAGGTGCTTTAGGATTGCAATTCCCATAATTTGCAAGCAATTCTGGCATGGGAATTCTCATCCTATCCCAAGAGTACCAGGTTGAGGAGGCTTTCATAAATGCTTTTCTGATAAAATGTGCAGAGTTTCTAAGATATGCTTCATAAGTGCATGGAAAGGTTGCAGCACCTAGTGAGAATTCATGTTAGTTCATCTATCATATTCTCAATAGAATCTGCAGTCTGCACACACATATATTTTTAGTGAAATCAGTTGACATTTTCAGCTTTAAAAAGAGAACACTGCTCCTTGGGCAGTTTAAAAATATAATTAGATAAATTCACAGTTTAGGCCTTGTGCATAGATGCTTCTCACTTTGAGATATGGTAATGTATAAAATAGATAATCTGGTTCATTTTGCTTGCCAAATGATATCTTTAAACTTTTACACATTCCTTCTGTAAACTGCAAAACTGATTATATCACCTAAGTTATTTCTAATAGAATAAGAATAATTATTCTTAATTAATAATTATTCAGAATAAGGATTATTCTTATTCTGAATAATTATTAATTAAGAATAATTATTCTGCAATCTTTTCTCATATGACATATGGATTTCTATACTAACTAATCGTATTGTTGGATAGTTTATATGTGTGAAGTTAATATGGAACTTAACAACAGTATTTTTTTATGTGTCTGAAATCTTAATTGATTCATCTCTATTGCACTTTGATATCACAAGCCATAATTTTGTGTGACAGGAAGGATGTCTTCTGGGCTCATTATTCACTCCTTCCTCCTCCAGTTCTGCTGGTAGAAGTAGATGAGATTTTGGTTTGTGTGAATGTAATCATAGTTTAAAGCTGATTTGTTTCAAACAAACTATAGTTCAGATTAATTACTTTTTCCCAGTCTTGGATGAGATAACAAACCCAGAGATTAATAAAAATGAGGTTTCTGGGAGAAGGTAGAAAGCTGGGAGTAAATTGAGGGCTGAGGAAATCCAAGGGCATTTGATAAATCTTGGCTTTGCTGTGATATCCAAACACAGACTGAAAGACAAGTGGTGGCTGTCCCAGGTTCTTTTCTGACCAGGGTGTTTTTAATTTGAAAGATTGAAAAAGAAGCCAAAACGAGAAAGAAGGTTTCAAGTGGCTCACTGGATTGCTTGTAGCTCTATGGAAAAGCCTCCAGGCCCAATTAGATGTGCAGGCAGATTCTAGGTTGCTTCCCTTTTGTGATATCTAGCTTCCATAGCGTGTGTCTGAATAAAAGAAGCAGAAGTGAATAAAGGCTTACTGTATTGCGTGCAGCTCCACAGACGAAGCCTGCATCTTTCCCTCTGTTCAACTTGAAAGCTTGTCAGCTTCCACTGATGCCTTGCCACCCTGATGACTCTTCCTTAGTCTTCATTTTTGAGAGACTTTTCCACTTGCAGGAAAAGGAAAGGTGATGGGAAGTATTGAGCATAGTCTGTAGGAAGCAACTATAACTGGCTGATAAACAAGCCTGAGTTTTAGTCATTGCTAGTGGATAAATATTTAAGCTAAGGTTGCTTATTATAAAAGTATTTATCCGTATCTCATAAACAGTGTGGCTTCAGAGAGCAACTTGGAAGAGGTTACAGAAGCTTCTGACATTCTATAACATTTTAGAGAATGACCCTCAACTTTCCAAAATCTGCTTTCTGTTGATCTGACCTCAGCATCATGACTTGTGATTACTCATGTAACAAGACATTGCTTAAAGAGTTGGGGGAAATAAGAGTAAACTTTTCATGATAGTTCCTCAAATCTCTTTAGCAAAGTCATCCAATCAGTCTACTATTTCTTTGGCATTAAACATCTATACTCTTTCCAGTATAATTCTGTGCATGTCTATTCTGAAATAAATCATACTGCCTTCAACCAGGATGCATGCATAGGACTCTTCCCAAATGTTGCTGGACTTGCTGGCTTTGGGTGAAGTTACATTTCAACACACTTGGAGAGCTCCATATTGAGAAAAGTTGATGGATAGAATTGCAGCTTCATTTTGGTCTTTTATGTTTTGTTGTGTTTATAGGATATGCAGTTACCATAAGGCAAGGAACATTCAGCTGGGCAAAGGAACTTGACCCAGCTCTGAAGGAGTAAGGAAACTTTTTTCAATTATATTTGTTGACATTTTCTGGCATCTTATATCTCTGGGAGTGAGCAGCTTTTGCAGTTTTTAAATGTTATTTGAAAGCCCCCCCCCCTCCCAATTTATATTTTTTTATTTGGAACTGATGGCTTATGTAAGTGAAAATTAGTCCTTTCAAACTTTGCAGAGTTTCTACTGTTTTTCAATCTCAACTAATTCTTGAATGATTACTGAGGTAAGAGCAAGATCTTTAAATGTCACTAAACAGCTTGCTATTTTCCTTGCACAACGTGTGACATAATTCTCAGTGAACTACAGTTGGGATTTTGCAAAATGGAAATGTCTTGAAGGCTGTTGCTGTGCCTTCTCCCATTGCTTATTAAGAGAATGCAGACTTTACAATATTGGCTTTACCATTTCAGTAGATTATCTCAGGGCAGAATGGATTCTGCAGTTTTACATCTCTTTCATAAATGGCACAGTGGTTTTGTATATTCATCAGCTGTGTAGAACAATTCTAGATGCTCACTGTGAACAGCAGTAATATTAGGAGCCAATCTGCAACTTACTTCTTCAGTTCAATCCCATGCCTTGATGGATGGCAATCCTTAAATAGCAAACTGCTATCAGTTCTTAAGGCTTTCTTGCTCAATTCATATCTAGGATCAAACCACTTATCTTCATGGGGCAGTCAGAAGATTCAGGCATGTACATTCTTTACAAAGCCCTTATACGCTCAGAGATCTGTTTCATGTATTAATTCTGACTCTGTAGGCATCAACAAATATACGCAATCCACTAAAGAGATTTTACTTCTGACAAAAGCTGCATGCATACAATATATTACAATAAAGCAGCGGCAAATAAACTAAACAAATCCAGCTCTGCTAAGCTTTTCTTCTAACATGAACAAAATTGTGAAAGCAAAGGCATGAGGATAAATGATTAGCAGTGCTTTTTTCCCCCAAAAAATCATTCTATGAGTTACCTTTCTATCCTCATTCTCAGGCTCTTTCACTTCTTCATTCTATCAAGCTTTTTTTTTTTTTTGAGGGGGGTGGGTTTCCCATCAATGTAAATTCACTTATTTTTATGGCACTCTGTAACTTCAGAGATCTTCTTTTCACTCTGTTGTAAGCAGCTTCCACAACCTATACCTTATATCTACTTATTCATCTGGCTTTTAATAACTTTTCACGCCAAATTTGCTCTTTTCTTCCTGCAGTCATTCTACATTTACTCTTACTTATTTTATTCCTCTTTCTTCCATATTCCATTTTCCTCAGTATCCACTCTTGACCAAAAAATGGTCTCTCCCAAAGTCATAGCCTCTCGTTACATTGCTTGCCAGTAGCTTCCAGGTACAATTCAAGATGAAAGATCATAAAGACCTTCATGACACGGAGCTTAGTTATTTGATAGGCCACCATGTCCAGTACTTTCTGCCAGTCTAGTAAGATTAGGCAGTGTGGATACATTCCATGTCCCTTCCATTAAATAATTCTATCTATCAGAATCTAGGAAGTCTACCTTCTCTGTCATAATGTCTGTTATCTGAACCATTTCTCCACAGAGCTCTATATGATTCCCACTCTAATGAAATTCCAAACATCACTGAAAACCTGGCTGTTCTCGTAGGCCTGGGGAAAAAATGGTTGTTGTCCCCTTGTCAATTTTTCTTTGGTGCGCTGCATTTGTTTTTCTGGACATGCATGATCTTTATTGTATTGTTCTTTGATTTTTAAAGTATCGGCCATCTAGAACAAGGGTCTCCAACCTTTAAGACTTGTGGACTTCAACACCCAGAGTTCCTCAGCCAGCTTTGCTTTGGGAGTTCTGGGAGTTGAAGTCCACAAGTCTTAAAATTGCCAAGGTTGGAGACCCCTGATCTAGAACAAGGGTCCCCAACCACTGGGCTGTGACCGACTTCTGGGTTGTGGCCTATTTGCAACCGGGCCATGTGAACGGTGGGTCAACGTACATGCACCAGCCCACCACTCATGTGGCCCAGTTCCCCTCTGCCCCCCAGCTGGGCGCCACACTACAAAGGCTGGGGCCGCTGGTCTTTTAGATTGAGTATATATAAACAGAGATTCTTAAATCATATATTCAAATCATATAATTTTAAGGAAGTAATTGTTACCATTCTAATTTGTTTGAATTCCGGGAGGCCGATCCAACTGCCAATCAGCTGCTTGGGCTAAATCAGGCTGTGCTGAAGCTGACCAGGCTGTTTGCTCTTTGCTGCAAGCAATTTACTGGGAGGGAGAGGCAGAATTTTTTTTTCTTGTTTTCAAAGGGTGGCTGAGAATTTCTACAGACTTTTAGCTATACAATTTGGGATGAACACCCTTGGAATGGTGTGGGAGTAGGAATGGATTTCCAGAGGACCAATCTCCAAAGGGCCAATTACTTTCTTGTATTCAAGTCAAATCTCCTTCATTCAGACCTATTTCTTCCTTCTCCTTCTTTAATTTCACAGAGGTACAAATATCTGTTTTTATCTTTTTCACTTCATTTCTTAATTCGTACTCTGTCGTCTGCTTCCTTTACATTTTAAGTCACAAACTTCCATATATCATGGCTGTCAACAGTTAGCTTGCATGCAAATTTCAAAAATCAACCCCATTCTGTTTAGCATGACATTAAGAGTGAATGCTGAGAGAGAAAACAGCTGGTTGTATTTGTATTTTCTGTCCCTTAATTTCTTAAGGTGGCGCTTGAGTTCATGATGACATCAAAATATCTTTCATGCCTTCCTCTTCTGTAGTCATTAATTCTACAGCTCGTGTTCTTCATTCTTTCTCAGATTACTGAAACATGAATGAGGTCAAAGTTGATTAAATAAAGGCTCCTGTTAGATAGAATTTTGCACTGTACTTTCACATAAAGGAAAAATAGGCAGGCCTGCTAGGTATTTTTATTATGACGGATTCCAGAAAACATGTCTTGGTCTGTTTCAACAACAGCAGTCCATTTTCACTTTCAAGCTCTGACAAATTAAACTGTAATCCATTCAAGCGGATGTCACAAAATATCAGTTAGCCTTTAAGAATCCTTCTTTGTTGTTTGTTGAGTTGTTTGTTGATTTTGTTCTATTATTCTTACACTTTAAATCAATTCTACTTCTGAGCAAATGATCTCTCTTGGTTTTGCCTTTGTCCTCTCCTCCAGTATAAATTGGCTAGTCCCCAGTGGTTCTTTGGTAGCCATAGTGGGCCAAGTTGGCTGCGGGAAGTCTTCCTTGGTGTCAGCTCTTCTTGGTGAAATGGAGAAACTCAGTGGAGATGTGGCTGTGAAGGTTGGTTTTCAGCAGTCTGAAAAATATTCTGACTATCTGAATGTTTGAAATATCTGTGTAGCTTCTAATCAGATCTGTTTTATATTACTGCTTTTAGGGTTCGATTGCTTATGTACCCCAGCTACCTTGGATCCAGAATGCTACTTTGAAAGATAATATTTTGTTTGGCCACCCTCTTAACGAGCTGAAATATCAGGCTGTGTTAGAGGCATGTGCCTTGAAACAAGATCTTGAGATGCTTCCTGGAGGAGATCAAACAGAAATAGGTGAGAAGGTAAGACCTTTAGCAAGACATGCAATAGTTGCCTCTCTGACTCCTCTCCGCTATCAACACAGCAAGGCTTTTGGGGTGAATACAGTTTGACCATGCCAGGGACACTCCCAAAAATGTCCATCCAATTATTCATGCCACTCATGAAATAAATAATTTGGGGGTGAGCATGGCCATCAGTACTCTCTTCTCAAAATACAAATGGGTCAGACAAAAAGCAAAGCAAAGATGGAGACTCTGTTCCAGAACCTAAATCAAACATTGGTGAATCCTAGTTTCTGTCACTAAACCTTTTGCATAATGAGATTCGGAAGCCAATAATGTGATCCAGAAAGAAGTACAGGTCAGGTGTCAAATCTAAGTCAAATTAAGTAATTTCATCCATAAAACATAACAGTTACCCATTTCACAGGAGTTAAGGATAAATAAGATTAGATAGAATAAGGACAATCAACTCTTTATGTACAGTGAGAATGAAAGAAAGCTATATATTTTCTCCTCGCTTAGCAACTGCAATTCACTCCAACAAAATGGTTACTAACCAAACCATGTATCTGAGAGAGAGAGAGAGGGAGGGAGGGAGGGAGGGAGGAGTTGATGCCATCTAATTTAGATAAAATTCCCTCATGCAGCAACACCAGCCTCATTGTAGTGTGCATTGTTATGTAGGTGCAGAAATTTGGTCTTAAGTACATGAATTGATTGAAAAATGTTTTTTTTTACTACTGTTTACTACTGCTTCTTACCATCGTATTTGCAAATGGTCACTTAATAAAGCAATCCGCTAAATGAGGAGTGGCTGTAATGAGGTTGAGTTTTTATATTTATTTATTCTGCAAATTTAATATAGCTAGGGAAGAAAGCACAGTGGGGGGAAAAGCAACGTGATGGAGCATGCCAGGCTCTGAAAGTATGCTGAGCAGAGGACTAATTAGGGTAGAAATGAGGTGTATATATAAAGTCAGAGTTGAGGAAAAGATAAGAGAATGAAGGAGAAGAGCAAATGGGAAGCAGTGACATTTGAATAACGTTGTGGATTTAAAGCTTTCCACTCATCATTTTGAAAAAGATTGTGGGATTTTCCAAACAATTACCTTTTATTTAAATTCAAATTACTAAAGCAGTACATGCATGTATGAATGGTTGATTGATCGATTCAGAGGAAGACTCATAGTATTTTCTTATTACCAGTCTAAAAAGATAAGAAAGGTCCTGAAAATGGAACAGTGATCCCAATTCCTCAGCATTTTTTAAGCTCTTTAACTTTTGCCAGAGAAGAAGAGCCCCTGAGGCTTGATTAGAACAAGGATTTACCTAGTCCAGGATCCATTTTCCACACTACTTTTCCGATGCCTTGGAGAAGCCAGAAGTACAACATGTATTCAGCAAGTCTCTCCTGGGCACATTAATTAAATGTTGGTCTAAGGCAGTACAGGGACCATCATTTAGTTTATTTATGTTGCCCTTTTCTGCACTTTTTCAAGTCTCCTTTTTGAAATGCATCATCCAGAGGTGTCGCCCCGTTAGAAAGAAGGAGTCCTTTATCGTGGCCATTTTCCCATTGTCCTGCCAGCCCCAAGACCATATCAATTTGGGGGGTTTTTGTCTTGTAACCAGTGACCTCTATAACTCCCATTAGCCAACTAGCAGAAAGATTACTATATGTGTCAAGGCTGAAGCTGCATCTCAATCTAGGTGTAATGAATTGACAGCAACAATGGAATAGACTCCCTCAAGAAATATTTGGCTCTCTTTTTCTGTCAGGATATACAGTAAGCAGAAGTTGGATGGGCATCTCACAGAGATGATATAATAGTGGATTCCTACAATGAGCAGAAGGGCGAACTAGGACGGTGATCTAGAATCCTTCCAGACCTTCCCTTCCATAATCCTTTGAATCAATTGGACACTATCTTTGGGAGCATGCAGCCAATAGGGCACCAAAGATTCCTGTCTTTCCACCAGGTCACAGGAATCTGAATTGTACCTTAGCTTTCCAATGTTTGAGCTCTCCCTGCAGATATGGTGGGTTTTGGTAGAACTGGCACCGTTGCCTGTTGCATTTGAAAGGTGTGATACATTTTTTTTCTCTTTTCTCCTCTTTTCACCACACAGGGCATCAATCTTTCAGGGGGCCAGCGGCAACGAGTGAGCCTTGCCCGTGCTGTGTTCAGCAACACTGATGTTTATTTGTTAGATGATCCTCTTTCAGCAGTAGATTCTCATGTGGCAAAACACATCTTTGACAATGTTATTGGACCAGAAGGAGCACTTAAAGGAAAGGTGAGCCCAAAGAGATCTAAAATCTGCATATTTATAGGCACATATCCCTTTTGAAAGAGAGAATCTCATTGCTAGTCCTAAAATTTATGATTTTTATTTTTTAAAAAATGTCTAATAAGTCAGACTTTCTCAGTGTGTTGCCTACCTGATCCAATGGACTACAGTGATGCCAGTTGAGGGATGGCTGTTCTTGGTACAGCTATAAACTGTGCAATACGATGGAATTTGTAGTCCATTACTGCTCATCCATTCCATCCTAGAATTCCAATCCTGTTTTACTTGAATCATTCAATCATTTGATATACATCATACTTTTTTTCTTAAAGTTCAAGGTGGCATAGTCCCTCCTCCTATTTTACACTCAGAACAACAACCTTTTGAACCTGGACTAAAAGATAGTGGCTGGCTCAAAGTCACCCAATGAACTTCTATGGTTGAACATCGATTTGACCCTGGATTTCCTACCTCCTGGCCCAAGGCTCTAATCTTTACATTACACTACTCCTCAGTTACTGTTGGTTGACCTTTGATATTTTTCTGGTAGATTTTCCCACTATGTTTAATCATCTTTGGGCAGGAAGCAGAAAACCACATCCTTCCAGATATTGCTGAATCACCACTCCTATCATTCTTCACCGATCCATCATGTTGGCTGGGATTGCTGCAGATTGTCATTGAGCACCATCTGGAGGGCTGCAAATTCCCTACACCTGTCTTGAAATATGATTTTTCCTTTCAATGTTATCTTGATTGCGTCTAGACATCATCTGCTGTGTACAGAAAATCATCCAAAATACATGTGATGTTTTCTTTGCTTAGGATTCTTTTCTTTCACCTTTAATAAATATTTTATTTAAAATAACAGCATTTCACAAAAGAAAACAACATATTCTTCTTCTGTACTGATAATCCTCAACATACAACTGTTCAAAGTTACAACGGCATTGAAAAAAGAGACTTATAATGGTTTTTCACAGTTATGATCATTGCAGCATCCCTATAGTCCCATGTTCAAAATTCAGGTGCTTGGCAATTGTTCTTATTTATGATGGTTGCTCCCTCCTGGAGTTATGCGATCAGCTTTAGGGACCTTTTGACAAGCAAAGTCAATGGGGAAGCCAGATTCACTAAAAAACCAAGTTATTAACAATTGCAATAATTCATTTAGCAACTGTGGCAAGAAGAGTCGTAAAATGGGGCAAAACTCACTTAACAAATGTCTTACTTGGCAATATAAATTTTGGCCTCCTTTGTGGTCATAAGTCAAGGACTACCTGTATCTCTCTCTCTGGTTACCGTCTGATCAGTTCTAAATGATGTTTGAAAGTCAGATTGACAAGATGCCTATGCCATTGTTCGTTGTGAGGCCAGCTGGTAATATGTGAAGTGTTTTTCACATCTTGAAGTTTGCAGTAGTGTTCATTTCATAAGATGTTATCAAGCTTGTCTTAATTGTAATTATTAAAATTAAATATAATATGTATTTTTAAGAATGTTTTAATTTTAGCAAGACAGCACTCCTGACCTCTGTACGATTTCTATTTTCAGACTCGAATTTTGGTGACCCATGGCATTCATTTTTTGCCTCAGGTGGACTACATCATAGTTGTTGTGGATGGTAGAATCTCTGAAATGGGATCCTATCAAGAGCTTTTGCAACAAAATGGGTCTTTTGCAGAGTTCCTCCACAATTATGCACCTGATGAAGATATAGAAGAAGATGAGCCAACAAGTGATAACACTTTTATTGTTGCTGTTTTAGTTGTTTTTCTTCTGACATGCTCAGTCTATTAGATTATGCAGGAATTTTTCTCCCTCCCTCCCTCTCTCTTTCGCTCTCTCTCCCTCCCTCCCTCCCTCCCTCTCTCTCTCTCTCTCTTTGAAAAACATCAGAATGTGCACTGACAAAGAGACGGTATCACAACTACCTAACACAGTGGTTCTCAACCTGTGGGTCGGGACCCCTTTGGGGGTCGAATGACCCTTTCACAGGGGTTGCCTAAGACCATCGGAAAACACATATTTTCAATGGTCTTAGGAATAATTTTATTGTTGGGGGTCACCACAATATGAGGAACTGTATTAAAGGGTCGCAGCATTAGGAAGGTTGAGAACCACTGACCTAACATTTCATATATGTGTAAAACTGAGTAGGCCTAAACACTTGCATATTGATCTAAACAATTTCACCAATTTATCAATTTTTAAAATAAATAAGATAAAAATAGGAACCTATGGAGATTCTCAGTCATCCAGGTCATGGTTGTCCCAAAGGTGCTTTTTCCAGAGGCAACTGGACTTTCTGGGGGTTTTTTTCTTTGAAGACGTTTCACTTCTCATCCGAGAAGCTTCTTCAGTTCTGAAGAATCATGTAAGATTCAATCAGAGTTGAAGAAGCTTCTTGGATGAGAAGCAAAACATCTTCAAAGAAAAAAACCCAGAAAGTCCAGTTGCCTCTGGAAAAAGCACCTTTGGCATAAAGATAGGAAGTTTCAGTTTTTTCATTAGATATATTCCACTCTGTTTTTTCACTTCTTTTTCTTATCTCTTCCACCATCACTACCACCTCAAAAATTAGAAAAGGACACAGTACAATAAGAAACTCCCAGAAATAATTGTTCTATAGTGCAGCCAAAGATCTCAATGTTTGTGGTTTCTTGCTTTCGTTTAGTGTAGGCTCACTCAAATGTGGCAGAGCCAGTATCTCAAACCCCCCCAATATACTTGGTGATGAAACTGGAATGCTGTGTTAAAAATCCAAATACATTAAAATCCTTTGTGCAATCATACATGTAGTCCTCAACTTACAGCAGTTCATTTAGTGATCGTTTGAAGTTACAGGGGCACTGAAAACAGTGACTTATGACTGTTTTTCATATTTACAACCATTGCAGCATCCCCATGGTCACATGATCAAAATTCAGACACTTGGCAACTGGCATATATTGATGACAGTTGCAGATTTCTGGAACCATGTGATCCCCTTTTGTGACCTTCTGACAAGCAAAGTCAATGGGAAAGCCAGATTCACTTAACAGCCATGTTACTAACTTAACTGCAGTGTTTCACTTAACAACTGTGGCAAGAAAGGTTGTAAAATGAGGCAAAACTCATCAACATTAACAACTCTTTCACATAAATTTTGTGCTCCAATATGGTCCTAAGTCAAGGACTACCTGTAGCTGAGTTTCATTATTGCTCCTTATTCTTTGTGACTTAGAAAGCGCTAAGCTCAGACTTTCTAGAAGATAGTCTTTTAGAAAACCCAAATAATTAAATATTTGTGTCTCTGTAGTAATGGAGGATGAAGAGGTTCTGCTTGCTGAAGATACTCTCAGCAACCACACAGATCTGGCAGATAATGAACCAATCACAAATGAAGTCCGCAAACAGTTCCTAAGGTAAACCTGGAAGTGCTTTTTAAGTGACTAGGCTGACCATTGAAATCAAGCGTGTGTACGTCGTAGTAACGGATCTTTCTGTTCCTTTTTCTGGGGAAAAAAAATCAGGCAACTCAGTATAATATCTTCAGATGGTGAATTATCTAGCAAAAAGTCTACCAAACGAAAGTTGTGTGACAAAAAGTCCATGGAGCCTCCTCTAAAAGGCACTTCTGAGAAACTCATCCAGGCAGAAACTGCTGAAACCGGCACAGTAAGGAACCTTTGCTTAATATTAACTCTTTTTTTGTGGTTGAATTACTGTCTAATTAATTATGTGGGATCTATCCAGAGGTGGGCTTCAGCAGGTTCTGACCAGCTTTGGAGAACCAGTAGCGGAAATTTTGAGTAGTTTGGAGAACCGGTAAATATCACTCTGACTGGCTCCACCCCCATCTATTCTCTGCCTCCTGAGTCCCAGCTGATCGGGAGGAAATGGAGATTTTACACTATCCTTCCCCTGGAGTGGGGAGGAAATGGGGATTTTACAGTATCCTTCCCCTGGAGTGGGGAAGGAATGAAGATTTTGCAGTAACCTTCCCCTGCCACGCCCACCAAGCCACACCCACAGAACTAGTAGTTAAAAAATTTTGAAACCCACCACTGGATCTATCCCAAAGGTGCTTTTTTTCAAGAGGCAACTGGACTTTCTGGTTTTTCTTTGAAGACATTTCACTTCTCATCTAAGAAGCTTCTTTAGAGCTGAAGAAGCTGAAGAAGCTTCTTGAATGAGAAGCGAAACATCTTCAAAGAAAAACCAGAAAGTCCAGTTGGCTCTTGAAAAAAAGCACCTTTGGGACAATCGTGACCTGGATGACTTAAGAATTTCCATAGACGTATGTGGGATCTAGAATATAAGCAGACAAAAGAATAGAGCTATCAGAGAGATTTAGCAGCTTAGAAGAGGACCTTGAAACCTACACTTTTAAAGGCATTTCTTGCCCAAACGTTTGGTGTGGGTTTTTTTAAATAAACTTTTTTAAGCCTTCTACCACATTGTTCATGTTTTGTTGCCAAGATGATAGAAACTACCACCTCCCTTACTGATTTTCAGAATTAGTGTTCAAAGAGATTCTGCAGGCTGTAAAAGTGATCTAGAGATTTTAGATTTATAGGTTGCCCACAGCTGTTTTGTGATGAGAAAAAAGAATAATTCAACTTTTGCAACAGATGGAGAATCAAGGCATGGTTGCAGGTTCTTTAAACATATCCTGGAAAGTGGATTCATAGCAGAGTTCATGCAGGGATATTCGGGGACAATAGGCTAGAGTTTGCTTTAGCATTATATTGTACTACTGCTGAATTTAAAAAGCTGCTTGGGCCAGTTTGAAAATAGATATACGCTGCAGTGTTTGTCTTTGCTCTTGATATAGAACGTAGGTACAGAAAATCTCTTTAATGCATTAATTTGCTAATTTCGTAAATATTATAGAAGCTTACTTTATTTAGATTTGTAACAAATGTATTTTCCTGACCAAATCTTTGATCCACTTCTATTCAGGAATTTCATTTGTTTCAGCTATGGTTTTTTTTCTCAAAATAATCTGCATGTAAAGTATTCTAGTTTCCAATTTTCCAAATCTTCTTGTGAGTTCCTATTATTAGTTTAATGATTTTGCAACTACAGTATGTAAATATTTATTTTCCATCAATTTACAGGTCAAATTTACTGTTTTCTGGCAATACATGAAGGCTGTTGGTCCTCTTATATCTTTGTTGATATGCTTGCTGTATTCCTGTCAAAACGGTGCTGCAGTTGGGGCCAATGTATGGCTCAGTGTGTGGACCAATGATCAAGTGATAAATGGGACTCAACAGAAAGTGAAAATGCGAATTGGAGTCTATGCTGCCCTGGGTATCTTGCAAGGTAATTGTATTACGTGTTTCTGCCCATCTATACAGGGCAATTATTCAAATTCCTGGTTAAGAGCAGGGGTGAAATGCTCCCGGTTCAGACCGGCTCAGGTGAGTAGGTAGCGATAGCGGCGGGCAGTTCGGAGAACCGGTAGCAAAAATCCCTGCCCCTGCCCCCCATGCCCAGCTGAGCCGCGCGATCATCAGAGGCTTTTCTTTTAAATGCCTCTGACGATCCAAGCTCTGACGATCCAAGCTCTGACGATCCCAGCTGAGTTGCCGGCCAATCAGGCAACTCAGCTTGGATCGTCAGAGCCATTTAAAAGAAAAAAACTTTTTTTCTTTTAAATGGCTCTGACGATCCAAGCTCTGACGATCCCAGCTGAGTTGCCTGATCTGCAGAGGGTTTTTTAAAAACCCTCTGACAATCAGGCAACTCAGCTGGGATTGTCAGAGCCTTTTGAAAAGTTCTTTTTACATGGTTTTACATGTAAAAAATGGTTTTAAAAGTAAAAAAAAAAATTGGCCACGCCCACCCAGTCACATTACCCCACCACCACCAAGCCACGCCCACAGAACCGGTAGTAACAAATTTTAGATTTCACCACTGGTTAAGAGTGTTGATATAACTATTTTAAAATAGTGATAATTGTGGCTTCTAGCATTCTTTAATACTTACTCCAAAGTGTTACTCCATTGGACAGACAATGAACAAAATACTAAACAGTTACGTTGCTACAGCAATCTTTTTATTGCATTGTGGCAGCACCCCATTTTGATCTGCAGGCCTTTTATATCCTTCCTTTACCCCAAGCAACGGTGTTGTCCCCATTCAATTCTTTCAACCCAGAAGTATTTTGGTGCTCCTGATATGCCTATAGTGGTAGTAATAGATACAAAGAGAGAAGATATTGTGGTCTGCAAAAAACAAAGGAGACACTAATAAAGGAGAATATTTGTAGCTCAGGGTTGAAATCGGGGGTCCTCGGTGCTCTCTGAGCTTGCTTGTTTTCTTGCAGATGTTTCATTATCCAAACTAAGTAACATTATCAGCACTGATGATGTTACCTAGTTTGGGTAATGAAACACCAGCAAGAAAAGAAGCAAGCTCAGAGAGCACCAAAGACCCCACACAAAGAAGACGGACTAACAATGTAGGGAAGTTGCATAAAACGGAATTTCTAAGGATTCTGGGATACAGTGCGATTAACATCTCCTTCCTGTTGTCTCCTCTTTTGCAACAGGGCTGTTTGTTCTGATCTCCTCCTTTTCCCTAGCCATGGCTGGCATCAAGGCAGCCCGTATTCTGCATGCAGCACTGCTAGAAAATAAGCTTCACACTCCGCAGTCTTTCTACGATACAACTCCAACAGGCCGAATCATTAACCGCTTTTCTAAGGACATCTATGTGATTGATGAAGTGATCCCGCCAACCATACTGATGTTTCTTGGGACCTTCTTTAATTCTGTATCCACAATGATTGTGATCATAGCAAGCACTCCGCTATTTGCTGTGGTTATAATACCTTTAGCAGTTTTGTATTATTTTGCACAGGTAATGCACATCACTTTTTTTTTCCTTTTGTTACCTCATTATTTGCATGATTATTTTTGAAGGACCAGAAACCTGAACCAGAAAGATAGACTCTTTCAATCTGAAAGAATTAATCTGTTTTAATACTTACATAATTGCATACTTTCCTGGGTGCGGTTCCTTTGAAATACAGAAGCCAGCTCTTCTATCTGAAGGAAATCTCAGTTAGGTTTACAAGACTGAATAACTTATTCACAATCTTTTACTTACTTCCCTATTCTAAGTATTTTTGCTGTTGTGATCTTTCTTAAAATATTTATAGCCTGCCCTTTGTCTATAAGCTGCTCCAGCAATGGTAGAAAATGCTTGCCAGTAGAAACCAAAACAATTAAAAAAAAATTTAAAAATATTAAACATCATCAAAGTAAAAACAGTTGCTAGCATTTTTTAAAAAAATATTTAACAAACCAGAAACAAACCAGAAACAGTACAGAAGAAAAATGGAAGATAATTTTAATTTCCACTGGTATAGATCACTTTAGCACTATTTTGGCATGTTTTTTTATAATGCAGTGGGGATTTGACATTAATAGTGGAAAAAGAATCTTATTATAAAAAGTTCTTCTTTTCCTGCCTCCTGAATTCCGTAATTGGAAGGCCTGTGTTCAAAATCACTATTCTTACAGTGATATTGATGCAGCTAATATTCTAGGATGGAGTGGAGTGATGGTGAGATCTGTATTTGAAATCTCCTTCCAGAAAATAGATTATACCCTCATAATCAAGGTCAGACTAGCTTTTCCTCAGAAGTTGTTTTTCAGTCTATAAGCCATTTTCATACTTAGAGCATTCAAGTATGTAAACATCACCTGAAGCTAAAATAGCACAGCTCAGAAAAAGCTTTACTATTGATTCTGATGTCTCAAAGGCTAAATCCCAAAAAATTAGATACAATTTCTTTTTCCAAAGCCTTTCTCATTTGGGAACTGTATTGGTTATCTAGGATGTCACAATCTTGATATCTGAGTTCAAATATGTAAAATGTTTTAAGAGGTTTTGTTCTGTGTTTTTTTTCCCCCCCCCAATATAATGCTTTTGAACCGGCAATGGCAGCGATTCTATGTAGCTACCTCTCGTCAATTAAAGCGACTAGAATCCGTTAGCAGATCCCCCATATATTCACATTTTTCGGAAACAGTCACAGGAGCCAGCATCATCCGAGCATACAAAAGAGAGAAGTCTTTTATTTACACCAATGACACAAAGGTGAATGACAATCAGAAAAGTTACTATCCTGGAATTGTAGCCAACAGGTAAAGTTGTTTTTAAAGTTGTTTTTAATGTCAGCCTCTTATTTGAAAAGACAGATAGTTCCACATGAAGTGTGTATTCTGTACTAAAAATGTCTTCTCATTTACTAGGTGGCTGGGAGTTAGAGTTGAATTTGTGGGCAACTGCGTAGTATTCTTTGCAGCCCTTTTTGCTGTACTAAATAAAAACAGTTTGAATGCTGGCCTCGTTGGACTTTCTGTATCTTACGCACTTCAGGTGTGTATAGTACATTGCTTATATTAAAAGTGGAAGTGAACCCTCATTATAATGTGACCTTTTCATTTGGTATTCTGGTTTTAATTGCATATTGCTACAGCATATCTCTCTCTCCCTCTCTCTCTCTCTCCCTCCCTCCCCCTTTTTTGTGGCAAAGTAAGAATATAAGAAGATATGGAATGAACAGCAGTGGGTTGCCTCTTATGCCTAGGGTTGTGCTGATTTAGGAAGCAGTAATGAGCAGGACAGTGATGCCAAGGGAATATGACTGTATCATGTACATGAGAGGCATGTTAACCAAAGATTGAACATTTGGGAAAATAAAATGTTTGCTTGGTACCCAAGATACATTAACCCAGGTAACAAGTAACTGTGCATCTTGTGGAGGGAATTCTCCATGTGGATGATAATATAGTGAAAAATGTCTCTCCTCTGCCATCTTCTGGACATGTTGTCCCATTTTGGAGATGTAGCTACAATTGTGGTTCTTACAATGCCATTGTTTGAGAATGCATTCTTGCCATCAGCATACATGCCCAGCCTTGTTGCTAACCATGTCTCCTGGGCTTAGAAATCAGACTCTGTGTCCAGCCTCAGTCTAAATAGTTTAGTCCAACAGAAGAGATAATCATAAAAAGAAGTAGTCTAGAGTTGCTTCTGGGAAGAGAAAGCCAATGGCAATATTAGAAACAATTGCAGGGTGAAATATTGTAAGGAGGCTGGGAACGGAAGGGAAGAAAGATCAGACATCAGCAGTCAAGAGATAATGGGTGAGTCATTTGACAGCTTATCTTGTAAACAACAATTTGGTCCAGATGGAAAGAAATCGGGGAGGGGGGGACATTTCACAATATTCCTTGACTCTGGTTTGTCCTTGTTTCTTTGATCTTGCCCGGCTGTGTGGGCTTCACATGCAAGTTAGTAGGAAGTGACAATGATTGCTGCAGACCAAAATGGCAACCAGTGGTGGTAAATAAACCAGAATACATAGTGGGGGAGGGCTTTTCCTCCTTTAACTGGGCCTGTCTAAGATTGTGTTCTGCTTGTATTTGAGGATCAACCATGTTAAGATTTACTATTTGCTTCCACATCTTTTCTAGCAAAAGGCCTTTAGTTAACAACAGCATATTACGAAAGCTATCAGACTGCACAATCTGTCAGGGATTTAACTTCACTTTTAGTGTGAAGGGAGTGGGGGGAGAAGACATCTGTTTGGCTAAGAGCAGGGTGGATTATGTGGCCCTGAAATTGAAAAGCAAACGATTGGGCTTCATTTTAAAATGCACAGCATTGACAAAGTGCATTCAGAAACAGCAATCTGCAGTAGTGAAATTGCTTATGAAATTTGGGACTTACAGCATCTGTGAAGATCAAAGGATTTGAATTGGGCCTCCTAGCCTTAAAAGCTATTAAAGTTGAGATTATGGCAAGAGGAAGCAGATCGATTGAATCTCTATCCCAGGTAACAATAAGGTCACACATTCAGATTGGAAAAGCAATTAATTCTAGCCTTACGTATTTTTAAATGGAATGTAAGAAACAATACAAGCCTTAGGTAGTTTCAGTATAATTAAAGATACAGTGGTAAAGATACCGTGGTTTAGAGAAAGTTTCCGTCCCTATTTCCTTATTTAGTTTTCATTTTTATTTTGCACTTAAGACAGAGTACTGCACAAATTCAAAACAGACACAAACACAGAAAAAAAAAAAGCAAACTCAGCTATCAGTTCTTAATCTCTGATTTATTGAAAAAAAGCTCCTAAGGATTAATCCCTCAACTTTGCTGTCATATAACTGGAAGCTACTTGGTCTTCCAATCTGAAGTTTCAGCTTTGGTCCTCTTATGACATTGCCCTCCCTACAGATAATGTTGATATCAGCAGGGCCTTTCCAAGCAGAGAAGTCTCTTTCTCTACAAAGAAGATAGATTATAAGTATTGGGAATGTTGATCACCGCATAACATCTGGATTTCCGGCCTTATCTTTTAAAGATATGCTATGGAAAAATACTGCTTAATTATATTTTAGAAATATCTCTGCCAATGGTAACTACAGTATCTGGGTTACTTTTTGTAGCCATGATTACCTTCTGACACAGGTAATACTTTTTTAATCATTGTGTAGGTGACAATGTCTCTGAACTGGATGGTACGAATGACATCTGATCTGGAAAGCAACATTGTGGCTGTAGAAAGAGTGAAAGAATATTCTGAAAATGAAACTGAGGTGAGTTCCTCAGTGGGGGAAATTACTTCTCAAAAAACAAGCTGCAATGTAAATATATCACTCCTCTATTGACTGGGATTAATTTAGCGCTACATATTTCAGGTTCCTCAGACTGAACTCAGCATAATCTACTCAGACCCAAAATAGCTAGATAAGACTCTAGATTCTATACTAGAATGAAGTTCCATTAAGAGACTGTTAACTATCAACATGAAGTGAAAATCTTTTTAGAGCCATGGTGGTTTAATTATACTTTTTCCACAGTTGCACAGATATCTAGCCTTGCACTCTTCAATTATGAAGTGAATTTTGGTGGTTGACATAACTCATATTTCTGCCCTGAGATACTCTAACCCTGAATGGAACTCCCACAAGATTAATGGGTTATATATCTCTTTTTAAAAAAAACAAAATCCAGTTTGCTTTCATTTTAGAAATAACACAGTATTGGAAAATACATTAAATATTTTAAAAACATAGATTGCTCCTAAATTAAAGAAGAGCATTTATCCTATAGACCAGTGATGGCAAACCTGTGGCACGTGTGCGGTGGGCACGCGAGCGTTGCCCTAGCCCAGCTCCAGTGCACATGCGCGTACCAGCCAGCTGATTTTCAGGCCTTCCGGTCCCACCGGAAGTCAGCAAACGGACCATTTCCAGCCTCCGGAGGACCTCCGGGGGGGGGAGGCCGTTTTCGCCCTCCCCAGGCTCCAAGAAAGCCTCTGGAGCCTGGAGAGGGCAAAAAATGGGCTTACCAGGTCCACTGCCATTGCATGCCAAAAGCAGTGGGAGCATGGGGGGCAGGGTCATGTACGCATACGTGGGGGGGGGGGCTGGCCACATTGAATTATGGTTGTGGGCACGCGTGCGTGCAACCCTCCCACACTCTGCCCGCTTTTGGCACGCGACGGCAAAAAGGTTAGCCATCACTGCTATAGACTATTCCATACATAATATAGAGTGGCTTCAGCCTGCACCATAACTAATGTTTTGCTTTCATTGAGTTGCAACAATGAAAGATACAATAGTATATGGCTATATGTTTTCCTTGATAAAAATTAGTACTGTCATTGTTATTCAGTGTCACTCATTGTTACAATATTATTCAATATAGTACATAACATGAAAGTTTGCCATCCCTATGAACCTTTTAATATTATTGAATTATAATTCCTCCCAGTATTCTTTATCATTGGCTACACTAACTAGGTTGCTAGGAGTTCTGTTATTCCAAAGAAGGTTAAAAATTGTTGTAAATACAATTGATTTTACCCACATTACCCACAGAATGTAATGTATCTCTTGTTAGACATTAATCTCTTAGTGCTGGAACTGTTAACTATTTGAAGTTCAACTATTTTCAGTGAGACATTTTCAAATATTTAACTTTCTAGTTGATAGAAATAGAAGTTTTTGAGCGTTTATATTTGGCATCCTTGTGATCATGCTGTTATGGCACTGAGACCGTACAAAGCCATGTGTGTGGGTGACCAATCTATTCCAAAAATAATCTAAGTAAAATGTTATATTCCTTTTTGCCTGACAAAGAGACGTAACTTGAATGTTTGCATGTTTTCATGCAACAGATAATTTATGTGATCAACACATGTGTTCAACAGATATTAACATATAATTTATATGATAGAAGATCTAGTGCTATGCACATCTGTAATATTTAAGAAAAATGAGGACATCTGGGTCAGCTTTACAAGGTATACCAGATAGGAAACACAACCAGATGAGCTAATTCTATTTTGTTGTAAGATTATATTAATAGAATCTTGCAAGTCTGAAAGTACATCCCTTTCTCCACCCCATCCCCATGCTCTTTACACTCCAAGAAACTAGGCAGGGTCTCTTCTGAGCCACTTGTCCTGCTCACAGTCCTGCTGTGGGCTAAGATGCCTTTTAGCTGGATGTTCCCTTGGCTGTGTCTCATTGCCCTATCTCCCAGTGTCATTCCCACCTACCATTACAGTAAGTGTAGAATGCTCTGAAAGTTTGTATATTTTATACTTATTCAAGCCAAGAGTCAGTTTGGTACAGTGATTAAAGGCACTCAGGAGGAGAAAACAAGAAACTGAGTTCTAGTCCTACCTTAGGCACAAACCCAACTGAGTGACTTTGAGGCAGTCACTGTCTCTGAGCCCTAGGAAGTAGGCAGTGGCAAACCACTTCTGAAAATACTACCAAAAAAAAAAAGGAGATAGTTGCTAGGAATCAAGGCTGGCTTAAAGGCACAAAAAAAGAGTCTAAAGCTAGAAAAAGAAGAAATATGGCTGCACATTGCAGGAAGCTATTGTGTAGTTAATGAGATCTACCAGACATATTCATTAGCAAAGTAGCATATATTTCTGCCTTTGTGAGTCTTATCCTTAATGAAATTGTGTACAAAATGCTTTGTATTCAAGAAAGGTTTATCTATTTGTTTATATATTGATTCATTAAATTTACAGCTGGCCTTTTCCTGTTAGAGCTCATGGCACCTTACACGTTTGTTTTATCCCCACAATCAATTTGGGTGCCAAGAGGCAGATATACTGGCCTCCCTTACATGCATCGGAAAAGTTTATGCCCAGATATAGAGGTTGAAACTGTTTCACATGTTTTTCTAAAATGCCAATTGTATACACAGTGGCAAATTAATCTTGTACTACTTATTGTTAGAAAGCTTGGTTCCTTTTATAACTGTGAAGCTACCATTCTCCTTCTTTGTGACCAATTTTCAGATACCTCCGAGAAATTTGCAAAAAAATATTTTTTTATCAATTGCTATGACTTATAGAATCCTTCTGATGCCCTCTTTATGTACTAATTGTTTCAGGCCTATCCCACACTCTTCACGTGTGTGCATGTGTATGTGTATTTAGTGTATTTGATGTATTTTTAATGATAGGTCTTAAGGCTGCAACTAAATAAACCAACTCGCTTCCCGACAATTTTGGGAAGAAGAAGAGGCCGAACTAGAGTCCCAGAGTCACCAAGGCATCCCATGAATAAGGAGGGACATGAAACCCAGTCCAACAGCTTACCACCCTAGCAACTCTTTTAGATGATTCAGCAAACAAGCCACTTGATGTTAATATTTAGTGGAAGACTAAATACTACTGTACTCGTGGAGCTTTTAGTACAATATATTTTGTCAGAGTTGAAAGCATGATTTGAGTGCTAACACAGTATCCTGTAACTTCTTCCACATTCAGGCTCCCTGGATCATTGAGGATAAAAGACCTCCAAAGGAATGGCCCACCCAGGGAGAAGTGGTCTTTACAAAGTATTCTGTCAGGTATAGGAAAGGGTTGGATTTGGTGTTGAAAGACCTCAGCTTGGGTGTAAAAGGTGGAGAAAAGGTATGTTTCTAACATAGCAGTGAATTAACTTGTATTTTCTGTGGCCTGCATTTAAAAATGAAGAGTTCAGTTTTACTTAGCTGATAGAAGAAATAGAGTGTTCATAATTATCAATGAAACATGTCTTTGTCATCACATAATAAATATTTGTGTTCAGCCCTAGCTGCATTTCTATCCAGAAAGTTCTTCAATTGTCTGATAAAACAGACCCCAGTTCCATTATCAAATTAATAAGAGGATATAAAAGGCAACCTTCATGAGTTCTGTGAGACACCTCGATAGGTGAGAAAGTAATTTCATGTGTAATAATTTGGCCACAGGTATAAATTAGAAGGTTTTTAGCCAATAAATCAAAAAAGGATATCTATATTTGCCCAAAAATTATTTCAAAATTTTGGCATCAACATTTAACAGGAGAAATGGGCAATAGCTTATCCAATCAGCAGAACTTTCATCATGCTTCAGCATCAATTATATAAACTTAATTAAAGGAAGTTTAGAAAAGCTTTGTGTGTGTGTGCGCGCGCGCACATACCCCTCCAATAATACAGGGTGGAAAAACCAAAACACCCCATTTTGAACCAAGGTACCTCAAATGAGCTAACTGAATGAGCATCCAAAATCCAGGAGCCATGGCTCCCATGAAATTGAAATTTGGCAAATTTTATATAACATTTTAGGACATAAACTTTGTGATGAAGCAGTTTATGACATAATACCAGTGGCGGGATTCATCCAGTTCGCACCACTTCGGGAGAACCAGTTGTTAACTTTCTGAGCAGTTTGGCAAACTGGTTGTTGGAAGAAATCATTAGGGCAGAGAACCGGTTGTTAAATTACTTGAATCCCACCACTGCATAATACAAAATGTCATAAAACGTTTCCTGTGCTAATGTCTGACATGCTGACGGCTCAACATGGGCTATTTTCAAGGCAGATGCATCTCTGAATGTATCCTTGAATTTTTTATGAACTTTTCAAGTGCATTACAAGCTCTCCTGATGTTGAAGGCATTCATTGAGGAATTTGGTAGGGAAATATCTATGAAACATTGACCCAATAAATCACGGGTTTTCTAATTTCTTCATTTGTAACTTTTGACTTAATATGATAGTTGAGTATTTTTTTAAAAAAATGCTGTCCCAAATAAAATTAAATCAGTGTCATTACATACTTTATACTAAGCATCCTTAAAAGTAGAACCGATACTTTGTTGTTGCTATTTCAATGGGGCAGCCAAAAAATTGTCGATTCTTTCTTCTTTTTCTTAGAATCTTTGCTTTTATAAAATTAATTAATTTTATGTAATTTAAATATCAAATGTACAAAGGAATTAAGTTCCTGTGTAAAAGACATAAATATTTGATACAGCTCTCATAAAGGTTATTGTATGAATGTATGTACCAGAGGTGGGTTTCAGCAGGTTCTGACCAGTTCTGGAGAACCGGTAGTGGAAAGTTTGAGTAGTTCGGAGAACCGATAGTAAAAATTATGACTGTCCCCATCCCCATCTATTCTCTGCCTCCCAAGTCCCAGCTGATCAAGAGAAAATGGGGATTTTGCAATAACCTTCCCCTGGACTGGGGAGGGAATGGAGATTTTACAGTATCCTTCCCCTGCCACCTGCACCAAGCCACACCCACCAAGCAATGTCACACCCACCAAGCCACACCCACAGAACCGGTAGTAAAAAAATTTGAAACCCACCACTGGTATGTACCGGAGTGTGTGTGTGTGTGTGTGTGTGTGTTTGTTTGTGTGTATTCCCTTAACTTTATTTCCCAAATTTTCTTATATTTCTGACTATTCTTTTTTTTTCATGAAAAGTAGCAATAATGTGATCCCAGATAAGTGTCTTGTAAGTGTAACATAAAGAAGAAAAAGAACACTGTATGTTTAACCTGTACAAGTTTCATGCCATCTTTCAGTGGGACCATCATTTTAATCATTGCTGATTCTTCAAACCTGTGAATTAGGTTGGGATTGTTGGACGAACTGGAGCTGGCAAATCCTCAATGACCCTCTGCCTCTTCAGGATACTAGAAGCCACAAAGGGAGAGATTACCATTGATGGGGTGAAAATTGCAGATATTGGCCTTCATGACTTGCGATCCAAGCTAACTATAATTCCCCAAGTAAGCCTACTTTTATGCATTAAACCATTCTAGTGGGAATTATTTGTTTGTTTATATTTATTGGTTGCCCAACTCCAGTGGATTTTGGATTGCAAATGTACAGTATACCCAACAGTAACAATTGCAGATTTTTGTGTTAGAATAATTGCCTTATGTCCCAGGGCAGATGTAAATTGGGAACCAAACACCATAGTTTAAACGAGATGTAGAAACGGAATGACTATGATCTTTGCACATAGAATCCATGTATCTTGTCCATTTATTTTGCAAAAAGATTTTTAAGGATACCTAAAAACAAGATATCCTATTTCTATATCCTTTTGATGTAAAGTTTTCTATCTGAAAAGATTTTGATGAATAAGAGAGTTGTATCGTTTCCTATGCCAGAAAATAGTTGTTCTTGCAAGATGAAGCTTTATTTATTATCAAATTTTACTTTGCTACCCATCTCATACATATGACTCAGTGCAGCTTACAAACAATTAAAACAAATATAAAACAGCAAAACAAACAATACAACAAGTGAAAACCTTGATCTGGTACAAAACATGGCTGCATGGATAGTATCAGATATTCAGCATATGTAACACCACTACTCTGAGCTACAGAGAGACACCTTATCAGGGAGATGTGCGGCATATAAATTTAATATATAAATGCCTGTGTTTCTCCAGGTATAATTCAATGTGTTGGTGATCACCTTTAAAGCCCTTCATGGTTTGGGGCTGGGTCACCTATGGGACCATCTTCTCCCAGTGTTTTCTGCCTTACAATTTGATTCAGCAGGTTGGATATATTACAGGTATGGCTGCTCACTCTTGAAGAGTGCAGATTATAGACCCAACCTTGTTTCAATATCACTTTGAGTTAGAATTTACTTTAGAAACATCCTAATACATATTTCCGTATGACTAGATAATTCATCTTTCTTTATAATTGCATTCTAAATCCAGTCTGATCATTTTTTTAAGGACCCTGTTCTTTTTTCTGGAACACTCCGAATGAATTTGGATCCATTTAATAAATATTCTGAGGAGGAACTATGGAAAGCCCTTGAACTGTCCCATCTGAAGAGGTTTGTCAGCAGTCAGCCTGCTATGCTCGAATTTGAATGTTCAGAAGGAGGAGAAAATCTGAGGTAATTACAGTTCTAATTTGGAAGATGTAAGTATAACAAGGAGGCATTTCAAGAAAAATGTTGAAATGTCTCTCTTATGAGTTCCACCAACTGCATTCTTATCCCCTTTCTCCCGGCAATTCATTGTCTATGCTCAGTTCTCATTAGATTTTTTTTTTTATTGCAAAAGTTTTACAATTACATTTTCACCCCTTTCCCCCCCCCCACCCCAAACTTCCCAACCTCCCTAACCCTCCCTAACCCTCCCCTCCCCCCAGACTTCCCTATATTATACTCATATCTGGTAAAAAAAATAAAAAAAAAACCCTTAATATAAAACTTATGTAAAAACTTGAACCCCTCCCTCCCCTTTATAATTTTTCTTTTTACCCTCATTACATTAAAATATTTCTAATACATTATTTTCAAATAAAAGCTATTTGATACTTTCTAGTTTGATATTTGTTCTGAACATATTCTATCCACCTTTTCCATTCCCATTCATAAGTCTCTTGTGAACAATCTTTTAAGTATTCTGAAATCTTCGCCATCTCTGCAAAACTGGCCATCTTCAAAGTCCATTCCTCAATAGTGGGCAAAGCTTCATTTTTCCAATATTTACCTATCAACAATCTTGCTGCTGTTATCATATACAATATCAGTTTTGTTTCACCCAATGTAAAACCCTTAACTATACCCAATAAAAACAATTGTGGAGAGAATTGAATTTTTTTCTTCAAAACATTCTGCATGACCCACCAAATTTTTATCCAAAAAGCCTTAACTTTCCTACAGGTCCACCAAACATGATAATACGTAGCATCCAAACATTCACATCTCCAACATTTTGGCTGAACATTAGGGTACATACATGACAACTTTTTGGGATCTAAATGCCATCTATAAAACATTTTATAGAAATTTTCCCTCAAGTTCTGCGACTGTGTAAATTTAACATTCTGAACCCAAATTTTTTCCCATGTTTCCAACATCACTGGTTCTTCAAAATTTTGTGCCCACTTAATCATACAATCTTTAACTAATTCAGTTTCTGAATCCCTTTCTAACAAAACATTATAAAGCCTTTTGATATGCATTGGACCTTTCTCTTTTATATGTCTAACCAATTCTTCCTCGTGCAACATAATACCAGTTTTTTGGTCCTCTTTCCATCTCAATTGTAATTGATTATATTGTAACCAAGTTAAATTAATCCCATTAGATCTCATTAGATTTTTTTATGTTTGGATCCATCAACTCCTGCCCTACCCTTTGTTGCAAACTGTGTATGTGTGTCCATGCACGTGAATACTTTATTAACACAGTATCTAGGGGCAGTTCTCACTTCTATCCCTGGAAATAGTTTAAAATGGCTGACAGCTTGAACCGGAAGTAACCTATCTAGTCTATTAGCTATTTCTATTTTTTTATCCCAATCTTTTCTATTGTCTTTCCCCAATCTGATTCTCTCCCATTTTCCTTTCTTCTTTCCCCAGACATTTCATGATTTTCATTTTCCCCCAGGCACCCCATTTTATCAGTCTTACCATCCAGTTTGTTTCCTTTTGGGTCTCACAACATTTCCCACTATTGAATTATTTTGTTTTGTTTAAGAAAGACAACAATTTCCATTGTTAATAAAAAGATCTTCAATGTGGACAAGCTGTGGAATATGCTTTGAAAAATAGGAATCACAGAACACCTCATTGTCCTCATGTGAAACCTATAGACAGGTCAGGAAGCCACAAATCTGGACAGAACATGACAGGTAGAAGGAAAGAAAAGAAGAAAACCAGCAGCAAGATGAATGATTCTATTGCAGCAAAATAGGTGTACTATTGGAAAACCTGAAATACCCAGCTGGAAAGCAGATCCTCCTGGAGAAAATCTAATGTGATTTCTAAGAGTCAGCACCAATTTCATGCTAACTTCATGGGTGCGCATAATCAATAAATCAATTGAGGGAAACAATATAAAATGTAACATTAGAATATACTGCAGGGTTGGGACTGTTTGTGTTTAGTCCTCCTCTTTCCCTTTATCGCTAAATTATTGGAAGAGACTTCTCTTTCTTTCTTGCTCTCCTTGAATGCACAAAAGAAATGACTGTGGCCCCATGGAGCTGTTTTCATGATAGATAATGCACTTTCTTGAGGGATTGCTTTATATTAATGATGCAGGTCTTGGTGCTAATCACAACCAAACATGGTAGAGGCAAGGTGGAGAGGAAATGAAATAGTTTATCAGAATCTCACATTTGGTTTTTTGGGGGAGGGGGGGTGTTCCATTAAGAAAAATATAAAGGGTAGTATTGTTTTTATGGACCTATATTTTTTCCATTTTTAAGTGTTACTTAAGATCCTACCTGCTAGAAGAGGAAGAACAAGAGTTACAGCAAAATAAGGAATGTTTTGAATAAGATTTCTTACTAAAATATTTCTGTTTGAACTGGGATTAGATGAGAGAGAGAGAGCGAGACAGACAGAGACAGAGAGGGAGGGAGAGAGAAGCTGAGATTTGTGCTTTACTGACAAGACTTGCCAGTCCCTAAATTTCTTGCAGAGACACGTTGAAGAACTGTTGATGAAATCTGGAACCCACAACTTTCCTCTCACTAAGTTTTAGTAAAGTATAGGCAGTGGTGAAATGTAAAATTTGTTACTACCGGTTCTGTGGGTGTGGCTTGATGGTGGTGGGTAATGTGACTGGGTGGGCGTGGCTAACTTTTTTTTTTTTTTTTTTTACTTTTAAAAGCATTTTTTTCTGCAACCTCTTCGGCCCAGCTGAGCCACAAGATCATCAGAGGCTTTTTTATTTATTTTTAAAAGCATTTTTTCGGCTGAAGAGGTTGTAGAAAAAGTGCTTTTAAAAGCCTCTGACGATCAGGCAACTCAGCTGGGATTGTCAGAGGCTTTTAAAAGCATTTTTTCTACAACCTCTTCGGCCAAAGAGGTTGCAGAAAAAATGCTTTTAAAAGCCTCTGACAATCCCAGCTGAGCCGCGAGATCATCAGAGGCTTTTTTATTTATTTTTAAAAGCATTTTTTCGGCCGAAGAGGTTGTAGAAAAAGTGCTTTTAAAAGTTTTTTTAAAAAGCCTCTGATGATCGCATGGCTCAGCTGGGCATGGGGGGGGCACAGGGATTTTTGCTACTGGTTCTCCGAACCACCCGCTGCCATCGCTACCGGATTGGGCGATCCGGTCCGAACTGGGAGCATTTCACCTCTGAGTATAGTGTATTGCGTTCTGTGTTTTCAAATTCCTGTTTCATTTTTGAGACTGTCACCTAAAGCAGGAAAAAGCATGCAGAATAAAAATTGTACCATGCCATGTTTCCTCTTTTTCAAGAGTTTCCATGGGTTATACAGTAACAACAGCCAGACACCACTGCTTAACAATTGTTTCTGCCCTGAATCATTCTTTGGCACAGCATTAGGTTTTCTTCACATGCCCATTGATTAAAAGAAAACTTTCACCTACTTTTTTCCAGTGTTGGCCAAAGGCAGCTTGTTTGCTTGGCAAGAGCTCTCCTTCGCAAAACAAGGATACTTATTCTGGATGAAGCCACAGCAGCAATTGACCTTGAGACAGATGATCTCATTCAGATGACAATAAGAACGCAGTTTGAAGACTGTACTGTACTAACAATTGCTCATAGACTGAATACAATTATGGATTACACCAGGTAATTAAGTAGGATCAATACGTAACACTAATATGGGGGTCGGGGAGAGGGAGTTGTTTTTTCCAAGCTTCCTCGCCAGTTAAGTACCGCTCTTGAAAGTATGTACCTTTTATTGGGCAATTGCGATAGACTGAGGATTTGGTTAGTGTCTGGCAAACTCTGCTGCCCATCAGTCTCCCTGCTTGGGCAGATAGACATGATAACCTTTTGGGCAGACTGTCAGAGTTGAGATATGGGATCAGTGTGCTACACAGTTTGGGAGTGTTCCCAGATTCACCGTTTATAACTTTAAAGACAGTTAAATGTTTTTCACGTTACCTCCAACTGCTAGTTTAAAAAGTGTTTGTTGGACTCTCTGTTCTGATATATTCCTGTTCTCTTCAAAAAACAAACATTTGTACTAAAGCAGACCCGATTATTTTGCACATTTGGTTTTTCCTTCTCGTGTCATGTGATTTAGCAATAATGTTTCAGAGCCTTTATAGAACTGAAAAGGATTATGTTGGATTCCACAATTAGGAATGGAATGGTTTTATGGCCACCAGCTCTCTTCAGCAATCAATTTTTTCTTTGCTTGTTTGCTTTGCAGAGTCCTAGTTCTGGACAGAGGAAGAATTGCAGAGTTTGACTCTCCTTCAAATCTTATTGCATCCAGAGGGATTTTTTATGGTATGGCTAAAGATGCCGGATTGGCATAACAGCAAGCTACTCTGCTCCATTGAAGGAGTGATTATTGGGCTGTTATTTTCACTCCAAAATAACATCCTGAATGAACTGTGCTTTTCAGAGCAGGCCTATCAGATTTAGCGAGAGAAGCAAAACTGTTTCATAGGACTGAGAAACAGAAAATGTCATTTTCTATTTTAAAATATATTTTCTACATACTGAGATATTTTTAATTGAGAAACATCTTAAGTAATTGGATACAAGTACATATGCATACCTGTACTCTATTTCATTTCTAATAAATTACATTTGATAATATAAAAATACTAAAGTCTTCCTATTAGTTCCCATTTCTAGTGGACATGTATTTTAAAGGTGGCACCTGAAAAAATACTTTGTTTTTGAACTCAGAAATAACTAACTGGGGCCACAGCTGGAACTTCTAATTAATAATCACTGCAACTCTGTTTTTGTTTCTTTATAAATTTCTTCATGAAGTTAACTTCAGTCAAAAAGCTGTGCATTTGATCAGTTGGTTCTCATGGCATGGCAGACAATAATGAATTTTTTAAGGTAAAAATGTTTGTTGAACTCTTTGCTGGGATTGTTAATCTTCCACAACAAAACTAGCATACAATTATTTGAATTAAAGATAAAGGTGAACCAATCATTTACAATGAAAAAAGCAACTCACTCATTTTATGGGCAATAACATTTTATTAACTATAAAAAGGATACAACCCAAAAGAAATAATATTAAACCTAAAACATGTAAGTAATTCTTTATTATAACCAGGTTATTTATGTAACAATGCAGGAAGTCCTGATTTCCTTATATCCAATGATGTCAAGAAAGGATTACTCAATAGATTAGATTAATATATTTGGTTAGCAAAGCTAATAAAATCATCTGTTATAAATTGCAGAAGTTACACAATATAAAAATATTTCTCAGAGTGCATAGAAAGATGTCAGCAATTGTGCATTATGTTCAAGTGACTTGTACTGTATTTACTAAAACAATGATTATTCAACAACATACTAGATCTATGTTGATACCTGCTTATAAATGAGTAGCCTAATACATTTCCAACACTTTTCCAACACATAATAGAGCATTCTTAAGCACACCGATTCTATGCTGGGTTGTGGCCTCTCTCTTTCCATTACTTCTTCCTAAAAGATGTTGAAATGTATAAGTTGAATCTTTTATCTGAAACGGCACATTTTTCTTCCCAGACTTTAAATTGCAGCCCTTAATGAACTCTGATTTTAATTGGGCATCTACGTGCTTTACACCTTCAAGGATTAAGTCCTAGGCCTTTTAAATAGCAACAGAAAGTGTAAGATAAAACTAGTTTCTTTAAATCCTAATTAATATGTCCTAGGCAAACTTGATCAATAGCAGTCCATATCCTTTCATTTATCTGTGATTTAGTAGGTCTAAATACTTGAAATCTAGTGATAGAATATGGCTTAATCTCCCACATTTAGGCTATGTCACAAAATGGCTCTATTGCCTTCAATTATTTCACTAATGTAACACATTTTGTGTTTTAAGAGAATGGCAGGGGCTATAAATTCAATTGGTATTGAATATGTCAGTGTATTAGTTTCTAAATTGGGTAGATGGATATTTAAGCTGACAAAATATCTAAAGAGACATCATTGTTTATTGAATCAAGACTCAGGAACACTTACATGAGAAGCTGTAACCTTGCAACAACACTGCTCTAGGCAAACATGAACTGAGGATATTTCAGCTATGCACCTTTAGTGGCTATCACTGATTGTCATAAATCAATTGGCTTTCTCTGTGGAGCTGCAAACTCCAGTTCCTAGGAGAAACAAGGACCCTGCTAGTGTTTAAATTACAATCTATTCCAGAGTTAAATATGGATCTCTTTCAATCAGGCTTCTCTCTGAAGCATATAGAAATTCAGATCATTCCAGAACTTTTATTACTTATTGAATTTATGTGCCACCTATCTCATCCAGAAATTACTCTGGGTGGCTTACAAACATTAAAACTAGTATATATTAAAATAATAAAACAAAAAATAACAAAAAATAAATACCATTAAAAGACGGGGAGGAGAGGAATACCAAGTATTTAGGGAGAGATGGAGGAGGTCCTTCCTAATCCAATAGCCATCTCCAGAATGCCCCCCCCCCTTTGGAGCCCCAGGCCAATTAGCAGAGCTAGGTCTTCAGGCCCTTAAAGGAAGTTAAAAGGATAGATACGGATCTCATCTCTGTAGGTACAATTTCTAAAGGGCAAGAGCTATGGAAGAAAAAGCTCTTCTGGACCCCATCAGGTGTGACCCATGTTGTTTCTGTCCCATAATTGAGCTTGAATCCTGATTGGAAGGGGTCCAGATAATCCATTTCATGCAGGATCCTCTGAAGTTGCCAAGCAACCACCTTCTCTAAAGAGGGAAGATTGGAAACTGGATGAAAATTGTCCAGGCAGGTGGAATCAAGAGATGTTATTTTTAGAAGAGGGCAAATCAGGACCTCCAGGATTGGCCTCAGGAATGTCCCCTTCTGCAGTGAAGAATTAATCACTGCCTGAACCCACCTGGCAGTCACTATCCTGGAGGCTTTCCACAACTAGGAAGTACGTGGATCTAATTGACTGGCAGTTGCACTGACAGCATTGAGGATCCTGTCCACTTCACCAGGTCCAACAGGTCTGAAACTGTTCCCAGATAACTGCTTCCCAAGCATCTAGTGCAATGCATGGATTCTACCTGAAAATGAATCTGAGCAACTTTGTAAAGTGTTGAACAAATTCCTCTGTGTGACCCTTAAGATGAATATTCGAGCTCCCTTGTCGCAGGAGGAACTGGGTGATCTTGAGCAGGACCATTGGGCAATGCTCATAAGAGTGGGGAAATGTTTTGCAACTTTTACTGCCACGAGAAAGGCCTCAATGGCAACTATAAGTAGTAGTCACAGTCATCCCTTGCCTTCCTTCAGCAGCGTCCTTTATTTCTTTTCAAAACCTGCAGCCCCTCCAATGAAACAAAGGGAGCAGTGGGAGTGAAGGGTTAAAAGAGAGTACACAGGCACGCTCTGATTTAAAGCCTTGGCTGTCCTTTGATTCCAGAACATTACCAGAGCTTCGGCAGGACTGTGCAGCAAAGCCCCTGAGATATCCACCAGATACTTCTGGAATCCATTCAGGTCCATTAGTCGCAGGGGGAGGACTGCTTGAAAGGATCCACCCTCCCTCCAGAGGGAGGGTGGCCTAAGAGAATCTCAGGAACACCAAGGCATGGTTGGACCATGACAAGGGGGGGAAAAGACAGGTTTCCCCACCAAATCATGTTGTCATTGCTGCAACTTGAAAATCATATCTGGAGATGATCTAGGATAGGCCCATGGGTACCATGGTAGTCATGAACTCCTGGGCCGCTTCTGAGACCAAAACCAGGGATAATAGATTAAAGTTTGCCAGGACCATAAATCTGGGGAACTCCATTGCCAGCCCCAAGATGGCCTCCAGCTCAAGCAGGAAGGTTGCTATGCAACAGGGAGACTGGTACAGTAGCAACACTCCCAACTGATCTTGTGAGCTCAACTTAAGGTACTGGGTCTCACAGCCAGAAACTTGGAGAGCAAGGCTCCTGAAGACCAAGACAGATTCTCAGATGATCACTATCACCCCACCTCCCCTGTCCTGGGGTCTTAGCTGGGGCAAAACCCTAAACCCTATTTAAATGGCTTAGCTGTTAAACATTTTAATAAAAAAAATGTTTTACCTATATATCAATATATATCAAGCTGGCATTCCAAATATTGTTAATTACCTTTAATCTAAGCAAACCATGTCTTCCTACTTTGTCTTTAAAAATGTCTTGCCTCCACTTCCATTATTAGAGCAATCCCAAAGGGAGTTTGTTATTTAAAATCAAAAACTGTTTAATAGACTGATTGTTTATCAACTTTAAGCTACCTTCATAAAAGACCTTTCAGATTTTAAAGATAAAATTAATCATCATATTTTATCAATCACTGTGATTCGTGCCATTTTGAAGTTCCACTTTGAGATGGGCAATATTTGGGAAAGCTGAAAATTCTGCATCCCCCATTTAGGATTTTGTCCAGCTTTTTAAGGGTTTGGGGGCAGTCTTAAGAATGAAAATGGGCTTCCTTATCTCATTCATATTTTGAAGGAAGAAAAACTTTGTCACTGAAGTGCGATCAGTTTGCTAAGAAGGCAATGTGATCTCAGTGATAGGGAAAGGAACACTCAGCCTATGGATTACCTATCCTTTTAGGCCTGATCTTAAACAGATCACGTGACCAATATGGGTCATTGAAGGTAAATGATATTTTTTCATCAATATGTTTGTCAAAAGCATGAGAGGAGGGGATGAAAATGCAGAAATCAACAACGGAATTCAACTTCTCCAAAAACTCTTGCCCAGGATAGGGAAAAGTCTTAAGCTACTGCTAGACAAACTATCTTTCTCCCCTAGCAAATCAAGCTGAATAATAAAGAGCCTCTTCATAATGAAGTGGCAAACATAGAATCATAGGGCTGGAAGGGACTTCAGAGGTCCTTCTACCATCCTGGTCAAATGGCTATCCAGTCTAATTTTGGAAACCTCCAGTGATGGAGCACCCATACAGTATATAAATGAGCTGTTTGAGAAAACGTTGTACCTAAGGACAAATAAGAGCTCTCCTTTCTCAGATTGTTCCTTATAGGATCCAAAGGGAAAAAAGTGACACAGAACACATTTTGATACTGTAGGTTCCAAGAACTGATTCTATAAAATATATTCAATCAGTTTTACCAGCAGGTTAAATTCAGGCAGAGGTAAACAAAAGCAATGACCACAGAACAGAGGGCTAGACCATCCAGCTCTCCACTTAATGGGAAAAAAACTAGATCCTCAAAGTTCTTTCTGGCTCTACTTCCCCAAAATCAATCGGGGGGGGGGGAATAGACAAGATCTAAGAATCTCTACCTTCTCCCCTCCAAGGCACTATTCTTCCCCACATCTTTTTTAAGGTAACATGGAGAGGATAGAAACTGGAAAACTCAGCATGAATTTGGAGACGACCAAATTTAATCCTACAGAGCATACAGTGTAACTATTCCTACTATGAAGACATGGATTGAATTACGGTAGTTTTCCAAATTCATTATTTAAAGTCTGGCAAATATAATCAGAACTCAGGACTTGGGTTGGCAATTCTGACATTTGTTTTTTTCACTGGGTATTCTAAAAATGTTATACAGGTTACTTCTTTCAGGTCTGTCTTAATTCTCTAGTACTGGGTCAGTCTTTTTTTTTCCAGACACTAATGGCTTAAATTTATGTTCTCAGCACTTGTGCACACATTCCTGAATCTGTAGACAAGGAACACTGACATCTGGCAACTGAAATTAGCAACTAAATACACCTATTAAATCCTAACTGCCCGGATAGCTATATAATCCATCTATATTATAGCATGTAGTCGTTGGACTACAAATAAATGAATTGATATCAATCCACCAGCTACACAGAATCCTAAAACTAGGTTAATAATTTATTCTTAATTGTAGTACTGCGTCCCATGCTTTTTCATACTGTTTTTTTTTCCTGGGATTTGGCATCAAAATATTATAGAACTTGAATTAGCAAGATGATGAAAAGTTTAGACATGCTTATATGAAATGCAAGCAACACTGTCAAAAATGCATAGAAATTCCAAGATGTATTATTTATCTTGATATTAAAATATTTCTGCTATCTAAGATGCTACAAGCTTTCCTTTAAATAAGTAACAGTTTTAAAGAACCTGAGGATAAATAGGACAAAAATTAGAGGCAGAAGGAACTTGTGCTAATTTCATCTTGGAACCAGGCTACCAAGTAGACATCCTGATTGCTCCTCAGGAAAACACTCAAGGTTAAATAGACAAAAGAAAAGCAAAGAAGGAAAATCAGTCCAAACAGTACCAAACATTCTGCATTATTTACTGCTAAGCAGTTCTTGGTTATACTCACATACACAGAGTTTTGGTTAACACTATTTTTAAAGTCTGGATTAATACAGTAAAGTATATTTTCTAATATTTTATCTGAGCACCATTTCGAAGAAATCACAGCTGATTTAGCTACTTGGCTAGATTTTTAAACCAGTCAATGTGCTTCTTTCTGAAATACAGATTTTCCTAAGAACATTGGCAGCATCCCTTGTTGTACTGTATCAACAAGTGGAAGGAACCACTTCCTTAATTTCTAAATTGTGCAGCCTCTGTCTCTTACAGAAGCTCTTCGATGCTTTACCCCAGGCAGGATCAGTAAAGGTAGCAAAATAGGTTTTTCTCTGGGATCACAAAATTAGCTGCTCCTCTTGCCATCAGCAATGGCGAGACACCTCACTTACGGTATATATTTGCAAGGCGCTGCTGCAAAAAATATGTAAATGTGCATTAGTGAGATTACTGTAAAATTAATCCCGATTCAATAGGCCATTGTCCAAAGGTCCACATCTCTCCTTGCTCCTTCCTGTAAAATTCTCTCTGTTTCTCAAGTTGCACATTCAGATCTACTTAGACAACTAACTGCATTTGAAATATCTTGTTACCAGCATTAAATGTGTTACATATTCAGTCTTTCAATGTAGTGTACCTCCTTTTTACTAGTAGCAATTATTAGAACAATTAATTTATTTCCCTGAGAACTTTTATTTTGTTGTACTCCAAGAAGAAACAATTTCCTTATAAGAAAGGTCATTCATGGGTTAGGGTATTCCACTTGTCAGTTTATGAAATGCAAGTATGATATCATCACCTTTAGCATATTAAATTAAAAACAAGTCCAATTGTTTCAACTGATCTTGTTTTCAAAGATATATGTTCAGTCGTTTAATTATACTTTCCACGGTACAGTAGAAGTTAATGATATAGCCCTTAGAGCGTTCTAGGTTTAATAGTTAAATACTAGAATGAAACTTTTAATTCAATATTTAGTAAGTTAGTTTTGATGCTTTCTTGTTATAACAAGGCCTTTCGGTCAGTGCTGGTGCTGCATTTTTAAACATAAAGTCATTATCACTCATCATTAGGACAAGCTCCAGTTCTTGGAAATCTTGAAGCCTTGAGATGTCTTTGTCCTTAAAGAAATAAACAAAGAAAATTAGAAGCAATGCCTATAGTCACCACAAGGCATACAGTACCAAAACATTTGACCATTTTTTCCATGAACTGCTTGGCTGGAACAGACATTTTGCCCCTCTTTAAATTCTTTAAATTCCACAGTTCTTAATTAGATTTTTAATTATACTTCTATGTATAATTAAAGAGGTTTAAACTTTATTTTAATTGGAAAACTATAAATCTCTGGGAGTCTTGTTGGAGTGCAGCAATCTAGAACAGTGGTTATCAATCTTTGCTTCAACAACTCCCTTTAAATACTTTTGGTGCTCAAGGACCATGGCCATGGACCCCCAAGACTTAAGATTTAAATCATACATTTCTTCAGACCTTCGCGGACCTCCTGTGACAACATTGCAGCTCCCCAGAGCTCCACGGACCACAGGTAACAACTGATCTAGAACAATATTAAATAATTAGAAAAACATTGCTTGTTGCTTTCTTCTTTCTGTCCCCTTCTCCTTTTGCAAGTCTGTGAATTCAATTTTTCCAATTTTTAGTATATGTGCAGTTTTTGTGATAAGTTTAGGTTCTTTATAAATACAAAGATTAGGTCTTCAGGAATTTACACTTAGATCCTCCTGAGATCAATATGAAAAACTTAGTTGTGATTAAATGAATTTCTGGGAAGTTTTCAGCGAAATTAATTTGGAGTCAAACAAATGGCAAACTTAACCTATGATATAAGCTTAAAGTTCGAAAGAAATAAGTGAAGCAAGATTTTGGTGGTAAAGCATTAGAACGTAACCAAAAAAGGATAGTTATGCAGATATGCACTAGTTATCGTGAATGCCTTTGGGGCTCAGTTTCAGCTCTTTGATATGTTGTTCTTACAAGTTATGAGCTTTATCTGGAAGTAGATGCTTGCAAAATCTAAAAAGAGCCCTGTACTGTAAGTATCATCATGTACAATAACTCCAGATACTGCTGAAGGACAACATTTCTTTAAAAGGTGGGTGCATTGTATACAGCTTAGTCTGCACTGAGTAATGGACAATACAGAACAAACATTATTATTCACATGACAATATTTCTCCCATGTCTGCGAATTTTTCAGCATTTGCACATGTCAGTCTGGGAATAATTGCCCAGAATTTTCATGCCCACAGGTTGCAGCATTTCGCTGCACAAATCCCTTACAGAGTTCATTGAAAATAAAACAGAGCTTGAGCAGAGAAAAAGAATGTAATATTGATGCTTAACAAATCCACTCATAAAAAAAGGAATGTTTACTGAGACTGCATCCCAATCTTTCAGCTTTTAGTCACTTTTATGGGAGAATTCCATTTCTAGACTTTATAAACTGAGGTTCAATGTATATCACAGTCTTTTGGACAGTGACATTTGGCATTATCACCAAACATTATGAACTCCAAAGTGGCCAGTGATCACTAAAGAAGAAATTAGGTTCATGAGTAATCCATTACATTGGTATTTAATTAATCCATTTCTGTGTAGGAAATGCCTCACTACATGCAATTAATTAGGCAATCTTTGAAATACTGATTTGTTTTCCATAGCAGCAACTATCTATAAAATTCAACTTTAGGCTCCTTGTAATGACAAAGTGCAGTGTTATCTATTGTGAGACTGACAAAAAGACCAATAGAGCAGTCCTATACAAGTAGTTCATGACTTACAACCAGTTGTTTAATGACCATTCACAATCATACCAGCTTCAGAACAGGTGGTTTTCTGTCCATAAAAGCATTCAGAATGGGTGCTCCACAGCTTGTAACACTTCTAGCTATTGCAAAATGTCACGCCAGGCCCTCCTTTCCGTCACAAACCAGAGTTTGGGTGTTTGGCAACCTATTCACATTTAGGACCAGTTGTCAAGTGGCCTGCAATCATGTGATTGTCATTTGCAATCTTCTCTGCCAGCTTCCCCAGAAAAACAATGGGGAAGCTGGCAGGGAAAGTTGTGAGCATAAGGAACAGTGGAATGCCAAAGGATTAACATGCCTCTGTGCAGGGACAGGATATATTCTCATGCACTGGAGGAACAGAGCTCAGATCTGGTGAAAATGCTAGCTAATGCCATTATTCTGGAAGACTCAGAATGCTGGGGTTCCCTAGCATTTTCTCTTCTGGAGGTGCAGAGGCGAGAGCATTCACCAAAGCACTAGCCTTCCAGAACAATGGCATTTCACCAGCATTTTTGTCAGATTTGAGGTCCATTCCTCCAGCAGACCGCAATTTCCTCACCCTTCATCCCAATGAAAGAACTGATCTTAAATCTGTCAAAAATGCTAGTGAAAGTGTTTCACTCCGAATGCTCAGAATTCTGGCATTCACTAGAAGGCAAAATGTCAGCAAATGCTATATAGTTTGAAAAGCTCAGAAAACTAACATTTCCTAGCATCTGAGCAAATGCCATTGTCTTCACCCTCATGAACTTCTCATGATCCGTGATGGTTCAGTGGTTAGCATGCAGTACTGCAGGCTACTTCTGCTGACTGCTGGCTGCCTGCAATTTGGCAGTTCGAATCTCACCAGGCTCAAGGTTGACTCATCCTTCCGGGGTCAGTAAAATGAGGACCCAGATTGTTGGGGGCAATATGCTGACTCTGTAAACCATTTAGAGAGGGCTGTAAAGCACTGTGAAGCGGTATGTAAGTCTAAGTGCTGTTGCTATTGCTATGATCATTCCCCTGTGAGCAAGGAGAGCCCAGATCTCTCAGGTGTGATTGGAGGCCTAGGTCCTCTTCCCCCTTCACCATGCCCGGGAGGCTGAGGCTCTCTCCTGCGCACTCTGTTTAACAACCTGCATGGTCACTTAATGACCACAACTGGGAGAATCACAATTGTGGTTGCTGAGCAAAGTGATCATGTAGCATCCTATTTAACAACCCTTTCACTCAACAATCAAATTCTGGGCCCAACTGTGGTCGTAAGTGGAGATCTACTTGCACTTATATTATTGAAAAGATCTTAATAAATAAATAATTCAGAGAGATTTCTCCTCACATAAAGGAGGAATGAAATCGCTGTACCAATTCATACATTCAGACTCACATATATATTTAATGTAGCCCTTAAATATATAACAAAGGCTGCCAAATGAGATTCACTAAGTGAAATGCAGCCCCCCAGCCCCCCGCCCAGCTAGACGTTTTGGCTAGACTAGCCAAATGCTCCTAGGTTTGTGCAATCCTCTTGAGATTTCTAAAGCAAGGCAGTTGTGAAACACTAAACAGACCAAAATGCATATCTGCTGGATTTGACTTAGAAAGTCATAAATTCTCCAAGCCACTCATAAATAACTGAAATAAAACAAAGTACCTTTCTTAACACTGTATTTGGAAGCTTCCTGATTTTCTCCACATGTTCGGGGTTAACCCCCAATTCACAGCAGCTCACCCTAAGCAGTTCTTTGTACGTCAATTCTTGTCGATCCAATTCAATTTCAATGAAGTCATTCTCCTTCAGGGTACGATTTTGAATTCTGACCTTAAGTACCAGTTCTAATTAAAATACACAAATAGAAAGACTGTCGTTACTATCCAGTAATTAGTAGTAGTTAGACATGTAGCAGTTTTCTAACTCTGTTCTTAGTGTATAAAAAAAGGTTGCACTTCAGAAATGTGACTCAAATTTAAACAACAGTAATAAAGACTTGTGAGCTTTGCTCTTTGGAGAAATGGAAAATCACTGCAATGAATCATTGGCACCTTGACAGTCTTCAATTTAGAAGTTGGCCATAAATGTTTTATTAAAAGCCCTGAAAATTGAGTTCCTACAAAGGATGATAGCTATCTTAAATGAACAGCATTTAATACTAAGATCTTATCTATCAAATACACAATAGTACAAGTGGTTTATCTTCGATAACAAAAATCATGTCACATTCGTGCTCAGACTTTAGAATGAACTTCCCAAAGAGATTGAATTTTAACTCAAACTTTTTTCAGTACTAGCTTTTTATGAGATTGTATTGCTTGTATAATTTTTGTAAAGAAACCTGGATTTTAATATTACATTTTTAAATGTTTTAAATTATTGTAAATCTTGTAGCACAATAAAAAAAAGTAAGCTAAAATATTTTCTATTTCTCCCCTTTGTCCCTGGCTACCTGTTGGGAGCAGATTTTAGATTAAGTATATTTAAAAGCAGTAAGCTGGATTTCTTTTTTCCTTTCTGCTATGGGATCCAATTCATAAATAAATTGCTGTGGTGCAGCAATTAAAGAATCTGATTGTGACTGGGAAGGCCCAGGTTCAAATCACCCTTAGTGATGTATATTCAATGGATGACTTGGAAGTTAATCACTCCCTCTCAGTCCAAACTGCCTCCCAGAATTGCTATTATAGGAATAAAATAAAGGGAGCTCCTCACAGTAGCTGCTATGACCTTTTGTAGCAGGTAAATGAAAAAATAAACTTTAAATAAATATAACCAAATTTATTGCTACCTTCTATCAGGAATGCATCCAGCAATTTTTTTAAAAGTATGGCTTATTTTTTTGACCAAAAATCAGGGACATGCATTGAAATGACAAAAGCAATAAAATAGAGTAAATAGCACACCATAAATAGACTCTGATTAATTTGAGAGGTCCAGAACCAATTCTGATATGAAGCTGAAGAATGACATCTCATGCTAAAAGATTACATTAAAGTGCTAGGCAAAGTGTCTGAAAAAAATATTTCGCAACACTAAGCAGCTGGTTTCCTGTGCACCAACCATATATACATTTCAAAGCAACCAGGCTAGCCTTGCAAAAACAATATAGATCCTCTTTGAAGAGAAGTACTTATTAATACTTACATGTGTTATGCAGCATTTCTTTTAAATGTTTCCCACAGCCCTCTTATATAGAGCTGCTGATCTAACAAAAGAGATGTTCTGTAAATCTAAAGTAGCCATATCACTCTGTGGACACACATACACACACTTGAGCTAGTAGTATCCCAGGAAAAAGATGTTCTGAGGTGGAGCCTGTGATCGATTTCCATGTGCATTTAATATAACCCCTGAAAAAAATCTGAATGACAGATTCTGCTCACGTTGGCCTGTTCAACGGGTTCCCAATCATACAAACAGAGCTCACGTACTAAGTTTTTTTTACTTTCTAAGCTCTTTCAAGCATGCTGAATATACGCAAAAATCAGAATTAGAAGTTGTGCGCATCACAATCTTCTTGCCTGTCACGCACATTCAGATCAATGTATGAATATATGAATGATTTCGAAGTGAATGTTTTCTCAGCGTGTCACCAAAAAAAAGGAACCAGAAACTCTACTGGATTTTACTCACAGTTACCTAAAAGATCTTCTTACCCTGACTACAACAGCAACAAAAGTTCTAAATGAAGAAAAAAAAATTTGTACAGTTTTGTGAAATTGTGATAATGATGCCTGTACTTAAATTGTCTGGAAACCATACAATTTTTCTACATAAGTGTTACCTTGCATATTGCTGAAGGGAATTGCTCCAGTAAAGAAGAACGGCTGAAATGTTGGGACAGCTCCCGTGTAAGGGCCACTGGGTTGCTGGGTTTCTGGTTGTATAGATCCAGCTGGGGAACAGTGTGTCCTGCTTGGAGGAACAGAGAGCTGATGAGCATGGCCATTCTGAACAATGGGCTCCAGGCATTCTATAGCGATTGCCTTTGTCACGTCTCCATCACATCCTACAGAAGCCTTTCCATGTTGCAATACTGACGTGCCAGATGTTTGTACTGGAGACAAAGATATTGGAGTGTCCATGTTGTGTTTTTGTAAAGGAGGAGAAAGTCTTCCATTCAAAGAGGAAGTTGAGGTGCTGGTAGTGCTGTTACTCATGGAGTTATACACATAAGGAAAAGGCGGGTTAGATAAATAATTTGGGATAATTGGCAAGTCTTTCTTCACATCCAAAAGCTCATCATCATCTTCCACTAAGGAAGGGGAAAAAAAAGGTTTGGTTACAATATGTACATAAAAATATATGTAGTTATTTATGTTTAGCAACAAAGGTTACGATATAATCAAACCCTTTTGAGAAAATAGGTATTAAATATACAGCACACATAGTATGTAATATATTTCTATGTAATACAGGGCTTCATTTTCAGCAAATTAAAATTCAGCAGTCTGATTCTTTTATTAAACATTTGAAAGGTTCAAATATAGGAAGTCCTTGACTTACGACCACAACTGAGCCTGAAATTTCCATTGCTAAGCAAGACAGGTAAGTGAATTTTGCTCCATTTTTCAACCTTTCTTGCCACAATTACATGAATTGCAGTTAACACCATTGTTAAGTGAATCTGGCTTCCCCGTTGACTTTGCTTATCAGAAGGTAACAAAAGGTGATCACATCACCTCATCAGAAATACGTATCAGTTGCCGAACACCCGAATTTTGATAATGTGGTAGTGAGGAGGCTACAATGGTCACAAGTTACTTTTTCCCACCCCATTGTAACTTACAAGAATCAGTAAATGAATTATTGTAAGTTGAGGACTACCTGTAGCCACATTACTAATAATTCTAATTCAAGATCACAAAATAAAAAGACCCCAAGAGATCACTTAGGGTTTCAATAGAGATTCAAACCACCTCCTTAGCATTCTAATTTTCTATAATATATTAGACCTGTCAAATTATATTTTACCTCCCAGCATCTTCCTAATTTCCCTTTTGGATGTTAACTGGAATGCTTTTTCTTCTTTAACAGTGAGAATGTCTTTATCTGCGCCAGCCTCTAGAAGGTATGCCACGACCTGGGCATGGTTTCGTTTACAGGCCCAGTGTAAGCAAGTCCTGTACAAGAAAAAGATACAGACTTATTGAGAAGTTTTATTAAGGGAAAAGGGAAGGACTACCACTTCCCTTCCACTAAGCAATTGTGTCACAATTTAGATATCCTTATAGTGACACCTACTGGACACCTCTCAGAAAACAAAAAGACAGTGCTAGAAATGTCATGCTTTCAGCTTAGGTCTTCAAGTAGCAAGAATAATATATTTTACGTTTTCCAATATCTGAGGCACACACACCTCATTTTCATCCCACCCCAAATGAAGATTAAAAGCACACTTCACCCCAGAAGGTTTGTTTTTATCTTGACCAATCAAAGAGTTACGGTAGTTCTGTTCACAATGTGAAACTTTTACTTGTAAAGTTATATTTTACCAATAAAACTCACTTATTAGAATGCAATTTGTTTTCAGAATAGATATCTTCCTCACAGCAAATCAATCATTCTCAGTTCAACAATCTCAAATTACGTTGGATAGCAAAATGTTATACTGCTGGGGGAAATTCCCTTTGCCAATTTAAATCCTCAATGTTTGAGCTAACCGCTAATACATATGTTGGTCTTATATCAAAATGTTTTAAAGTAAAATGATTTTCTTTCAGCATTCTCTTTCCTTAATCTTTTTTCTAAAATTATTTGGATTTAGAGTTCTTCCATCAAAACCAGTACCTTACTGGTAGACACAGATGCTACTTCAGTTAAACAATAGTTTGGAAACAAAAGGACTAAAGATAATTACAATTTCTGTCAGTTTGATGCAATAATCCCTCCAGCAACTTTGCTCCCTTTCAATCAGCCTCCACCAAAGACTAGTGGAAGAAAACATCTGTGACTCAGAACTGGATTGTGGGGTTCTTGGTGCTCTCTGAGCTTAGTTGTTTGCTTGCAGACTTTTCATTACCCAACCAGGTAATATCATCAGTGCTAGTGTCTGTGAGTTTTGCATCCTGTTGATACACAGTACAGATAGTAGTTTGCCTTGTTGTTCTAATACTATTTTGATTGTTTCTGATCTGCTCTTGATGTATTGTAGTGTTATCCTTTTTATAGTTGGTGTTAATTGCATTATAACAGGTTGAGTGGTCAGGCACTTTTTGATAAAAGTAGTTGGGGTATCCATTTTGTTGGAAGATTTGTTCGGGGTCTGTTTCCTTTTTTTGATGTTCTGGGTGCTGTAGTACATTTGTACTAATTTAAATAATGTTCTTACACAGCTCCTCCTGTAGGAAATTTGGCTGTTACTTTTGTAATGGAGCATTTGGTGAGTGTGGATTGTTTTTCTGATAGCCTTGCATTTCTAATTTGCCCTTTTTACTCTGCTGCTGACAATATCCAGAAAGGGCACAGCATTATTATTTTCTTCTTCCCTTCTGAATTTTATTCCTCTGAAGATGTTTCCGGTGTCTTCTCTAGCTGTTCCTTTATAATATGACAAAGGTGTTGTCTACATACCAAATCTATATTTTGGGTTGTAGGTGTGAGAGTGCTAGAGTTTCTAGATGCTGAATTACAGTCCCGGCTATAAATCCTGAGAGTGGTGATTACATGGGTGTTCGTCTGATTTATAATTCCCTCAACATTGTCAAACTATTTACTAAGTCTGCACTATTATTAATATTCTCATCATTCCCATCACCCTTCTCCTTCCACTTATGACTGTATGACTGCAACTTTGTTGCTTGTATCCTTACGATTGATATTGATATTATTTCCTGATTGCTTATTTGTACCCTATGGCTATCATTAAGTGTTGTACCTTATGATTCTTGATGAACGTATCTTCTTTTATGTACTCCGAGAGCGTATGCACCAAGACAAATTCCTTGTGTGTCCAATCACACTTTGCCAATAAAAAATTCTGTTCTATTCTATTCGTTGTTATATTTGTCTATCAAACTGAAATTTAAGTAGTGAGGTCCATGATTCTAGGTATTTATATCTTATTGTATTTGGCTAGATCAGGTGTGTTGTGTAGTAGTGCTGCCAGGGATATTTTCCCTAATTCTGGATCTATGGGTGTAAAGAGTGCTATGACATAAAAAATATAACTTCAACTTCTATTTTTAAGTTTTTGGTTTTCTGGAGGCACTTTAGTGAGGAATTAATAGAATATCTGTTCCCCACTGTAGGATGTCTAAGCTCTTTAGTAAGTTCTTTGGCTATGGTGTATGTTGGGGAGCCTTGTAACAATACACCTGGGCAAAGAGGTGAATCAGGTTTGTGTATTTTTGTGTGTACATAGACGAGTGAGCGGAGAGGTCCATTGCTTTTCTTCTGCTACTGTTCTTCTTTTGACAGGTGGCCTTTGAGGAAATTGTGGGCATCCTACATCAAGCTAAATCCAAAACAAAACAACCATATTTACATATCATTCAAAAGAAACAATAAAATGGCTAAGAAAAAAACTGGAACACACCTTCTTCAGCAGCAAACGCCTACATAAGCAGAAATTAACACCAGACAAACAAGCAAGCAGAAAAGAATACTCTGATCAAAGAACTACCAAACAGAAAACCACACCCCCACCAAAACTGGCAGAGCAAGCTACTCACACTCAGTTGCACAGATGATGTTATCTAGTTGGTTGATAAAAGCTCTGCATACATACAACCAAGCTCAGAGAGCACAAGTAATTATGCTATATCTGGCTGATGTAGCTGGTGGAATGGAATCACTGAACTGAGACACAACAGAATGTCTTCTCTAATATTATCACCATGTTATCCTGAAAAATTATTTCTTTCTGTATCATGTGTACCCTTTGTCTCTCTGGAAGCTATACCACATATATTCAATTCAATAAAATTAAGATAATAGTGCTAAATGACAGCCAGGAAGTAAACTTGCTAGACAAACAGGTATTTGAATGCAATTATGTCTGATCAAAACTTAACCCTCTTTCTTGTTTACCATTACTGTATTTAAAGGGTTTTTTTTTTTTTTTTGCTATTCAGTAAGAAAATGGTAAAATATAACCTAAGAGCATTGTATATAAAAAGTTATAAATATAAAGCTACTGTTTCATAGCAATAGGGTTTCCTTTGAGACTACCAAAAATTTACATCAACTTTTATAAAACACTAGATAAAACCATAAATGTCTAACTAATTCTGTGTTTTGTAAGGAATTTGCAGTGTTATCCTTATTGTTAAATTATTAACAATTTCATATCAGAACTATTGTGCAAGAATCTCATTTTAAGGAACTCTAGGTAATAATGATATAAATGAAGATGGTTAGCAGCAAGATGGATGAACTTTATTGCAGTGGCAGGTTGGAACATTTAAAGGGCCAAGTTGGGAACAGATCGTCCTGGAAGAATATCGATTCAGTTGCTAAAAGTTGATTTGACAGCACATAATCAATTTATAAAGAATTACTTAATCTATCATAAAGTTTTCCAACACTTTTGATGTAATCAAAATTATCTTTGAATATTTTGTAACATATACAAATCTCTTTGTTATTTGTTCCTTCCTTTTCCACAACTATTTGGCAATATATGAGATCTTGCTCCCCACAGAGAGGGCCCGCAACTTGGGTGTCCTCCTGGATTCACGGTTATCTTTAGAAGATCATTTGACAGCCGTGGCCAGGGGTGCCTTTTATCAGGTTCGCCCGATCCACCAGTTGCGTCCCTTTCTGGATCGGGACGCCTTGCGCACGGTCACTCATGCCCTAGTTACCTCCCGTATGGACTACTGTAATGCTCTCTACATGGGGCTCCCCTTGAAAAGCACCCGGAGGCTCCAACTGGTCCAGAACGTAGCCGCGCAGGTGATTATGGGCACAGCTCATTACGCCCATGTAACACCTCTCCTACGCGAGCTGCACTGGCTCCCAGTGGTCTTCCGGGTGCGATTCAAGGTGTTAGTTATCACCTTTAAAGCGCTCCATGGCTTAGGACCTAGGTACCTACGAGATTGTCTTTTGCCACCAATAGCCTCCCACCGACCAGTTTGTTCTCACAGGGAGGGACTACTCAGGGTACCGTCAGTCAAATTATGTCAACTGGCGACTCCCAGGGGGAGGGCCTTCTCTGTGGGGGCTCCAACCTTTTGGAATGAACTGCCCCCGGAGATACGGAATATCCCTGATCTCCGTGCTTTCCGCCGTGCCCTCAAGACCCTGATGTTCCAACAGGCGGGGCTAAACATACGAACATGTGAATGATTTTTTAAATGTTATCTAATTCTGGGTTTTATTTAATTGACCAAACTAAGTAATAATTTTAATTAGCAATTTTATGATGTTTGTGTGTCTATATTTTTCTTGACTGTACACCACCTTGAGTCCTACAGGAGAAAGGCGGTATAGAAATATAATTAATAAATAAATAAATAAATAAATAAATAAATAAAATATATTATTAACACAGAACATTCTGAAATCAGCTCTCCATATTACATTACAAAACTGTCACAATAAATGCAATGTATTAATTATATAAAAGACACACCGACCGAATATATACAGCAAAAATAGAATATATTATCTTCACATTTTCTAGCATCAAGATATTATTAAAATCAACAGAATATCAGATTCACCCACAAAACCTAACAACAGAAATCCTGACAGATTTATTTTTTAAAGTTAAGATTTGTTTTGTAAATCTAGATCTGAAACATATCAGGCACTTCTAAAAAACTCAAAAATAATTTTAAGAGCAATAAAATAAACCTGAAAATATATTTTAAAATTTCTAACAATTACTTCATAGTTTTCCATAACAATGAAAATATATAAATGATTGGATCTTACATATAACTCTTTAATAATAATAACAACAACAACAACAACAACAACCTATTATCAACAACAATCTATTATTCTTATATGGTAATATAGGATTACAACCAAATGTAAGAAACCAATTTAAATAGAATAAATTAAAACAATACTTAAATATAACATGCCAAGTTTATAAACCAGCAAAAGGCTTAATCGTTTTTTTCAACAAGTTATACATGTTTAACATGGCAAAGCTGAGCAATAATAAAAAAAAATAATTTACTTTTAACAACTGAAACGAATTGGATGAAAATACTTCCGAAATGTGTTTTTTGAAGCAAGATTACCAAAAAATAATGTTTTAAAAGACATGAATGGGAAACTTGTCAGATAATTACTGGTCAAATACTTACCAGCCGTTGACTTCATTCTGAGAGTTCACACTCGCTCCAAAATCCACCAATCGCCGAACTTCCTCAATATCCCCCAAAGCAGCAGCTTCTCTCAGTCTCTCTTGTAGCTCTTTTTCCTCTATTGCAGAAGTCATGTTACGAAATTCTCTCCCCAGTCAACTTCAGGATTATCAACTGCCCGCCTACCTGCCTACTTAACTACTGTAGATGATGGATCATTTTATCGCGCTAGTCAATCAGAGGCCGGCTCAATCCGTCAGTCCCCAAAAAACAAGACTCGGGTTTTATTCTTTTAATTGTAAACGCGTCGGTAATTCTTTTCTATCTACTGCTCATAAATCAGCCTGACACTTCTGAAGGCCATTTTCCCTAATTACATAGTTAGACTACATCTCGGTCGTTTCTGCTTCCGTTTTCTCTGGGGGACTCTATTAAATGAGACAACAGCGACCTGCACATTTCGTTCCCACCAGTCGTCCGACGCGTAGACCGTCGACACACAGCAAAAAGGAAATCAAAAGAAAGAAAGAAAAGGAAATGGTTTCATTCTCCGTTGGAAAAACCGAATGATTGTTTAAAATATATCCACTTTGCCACAATCAATCCTGTATGTTATTGGCAAAGGAGCTTTTGCAGTTATGCATTTGTGCTTTTACAGAGACAGTAAATTGCTCAGCAGCTTCCATTTGATCTTTCACAAACTGCTTCGAGCAGTCTTAAATTGATATCGGGCAGGCTGAAATGCAAAACAGACTGGATAAATTAACAGAAAGCCATCTCTTTTGAAACAGTGTGGTAACCTTAAAAATACGTTTCCACCAACCTAGATACTGTAGTGAATTTTTCCGGGATTGTTTCCAATGCAATCAATAGAAGGAAGCTGCAGCTCACAAAAAATTATCCTTTTGTTAGTCTAAAAGAGTGCACCGTGTTCCTTTGGACTTTTGCAAGCAGAACAATTTAGAATTCTCCTCTTTATATAGATATCTTAATGTTTTTGTTAATTGTAGATATTCCAATCTAATTTTAAATAGGTATCTCCACAATTAGCATTTTGTGCATTCAGTTTTCGGTTTTTCAGAAAAAGATCACCCAGTTTTATTGCCATTGTAAGCCCAAAGCAGAGTAGGTAATTTTAGTATGTTAATAACCTTTTCAAGAAGTCCCAGGACTACAAGTGACTGACATATAATGATTAATTTTAGTCTTCTGGTACAACATTTAACACAGTGTTTCCCAAACCTGAGTAAATTACCCAAAATTGTGATAAATTACTCAAAGTAAATTACCCAAAGTTCACAATTTTGGGATATTTACCCAGCTTTGGGAAACACTGTGTTAAATGTTGTACCAGAAGACTAAAATTAATCATTATATGTCAGTCATTTGTACTCCTGGGACTTCTTTCCAATAATACCCACACAGGGGGAAACACGATGGATCTGGTTTTTGTCTCTGGACAGTGGTTGAGGGATCTTGATATAGGGGATATAGTTACTGAACCCTTGTCATGGTCAGATCACTCTCTCCTTCGTCTCGACTTTCAAACCGCTGCACCCCGCCGCAGGGAGGCGGAGCCGGTCAGATGGTTCCGCCCCAGGCGCCTGATGGAACCTGACAGATTCCAGACGGAGCTTGGGCCATTTCCTGAGGTTCTGGCACACGCCTCGACTGGAGACCTGGTGGCCGCCTGGGATAGGGCGGCTGCTGGTGCTCTGGATCGGGTCGTGCCTTTGCGGCCTCTGACCCGGCGCCGATCTCAATTGGCTCCTTGGTTTACCGAGGAGCTGAGGGAGTTGAAGCGCCGGAAAAGACGCCTAGAGAGTAGTTGGAGGGCCAGTCTTCTTGAATCTGACCGGACACTAGTAAGATCCCACATTAGGAATTACTTAGTGGCGATAAAAGCAGCGAAATGTAGTTATTTTGCTGCTCTTATTGCGTCATCAGATAATCGCCCGGCCGCCCTCTTTAGGGTGACCCGCTCCCTGCTCCACCAGGAAGCGCGGGAGGACCCCTTGGAGGGTAGAGCCGAGGATTTTGTTCAGTATCTGTATGACAAAATCACTCAGATTCGGGAAGATTTGGACTCCGACTGGGTAGTCTCAGGGGGAGAGACAGGGGCAGGTCTTGAGAATGTTATCTGGGATGAGTTTGATCCTGTGACCCCTGAGGACGTGGACAGGATTCTGGGTAGACTGAACGCGACCACTTGTTTATTGGACCCGTGTCCTTCCTGGTTAGTACTGGCTTCCCGGGAAGTGACACGAGGCTGGCTCCAGGGGATTATAAACGCTTCGCTGAGTGAGGGTGACTTTCCCGCCGCCTTGAAAGAGGCGGTGGTGAGGCCTCTCCTCAAGAAGCCTTCCCTGGACCCGGCAATGTTGGTAAATTATCGTCCGGTCTCCAATCTTCGCTTTGTTGCGAAGGTTGTTGAGAGTGTGGTCGCGCAACAGCTCCCCCAGCACCTGGATGAAACGACGTATCTGGATCCGTTCCAGTCGGGCTTCAGGCCCGGGTACAGCACGGAAACGGCATTGGTCGCGTTGGTTGATGATCTCTGGAGGGCTCGGGACAGGGGGTGCTCCTCTGTCCTGGTCCTGTTAGATCTCTCAGCGGCTTTTGATACCATCGACCATGGTATCATGCTGCACCGGTTGGAAGAGTTGGGGGTGGGAGGCACTGTGTTGCGGTGGTTCTCCTCCTTTCTCTCTGACCGGTCGCAGTCTGTGTTGACAGGGGGACAGAGGTCGACCCCGAGGCCCCTCATATGTGGGGTGCCGCAAGGGTCGGTCCTCTCGCCTCTCCTGTTCAACATTTATGTGAAGCCGCTGGGCGAGATCATCCGTGGTTTCGGGGTGGAGTACCATCAGTACGCTGACGACACCCAGCTGTACATCTCCACCCCGGATCACCCCAACGATGCCCTTGAAGTGATGTCCCGGTGCCTGGAGGCCGTACGGATCTGGATGGGGAGGAACAGGCTCAGGCTCAACCCATCCAAGACTGAGTGGCTGTGGTTTCCGACGTCCCGATATAGTCAGTTGACGCCATCACTGACTATTGGGGGCGAATCATTGGCCCCCACGGAGAGGGCTCGCAACTTGGGCGTCCTCCTGGACTCACGGCTGTCTTTAGAAGAGCACTTGACGGCCGTGACCGGGAGGATTTTTCATCAGGTTCGCCTGATTCGCCAGTTGCGTCCCTTTCTGGATCGGGACTCTTTACGCACGGTCACTCATGCCCTTGTCACCTCCCGCCTGGACTATTGCAACGCTCTCTACATGGGGCTCCCCTTGAGGAGCACCCGGAGGCTCCAACTGGCGCAGAGTGCGGCCGCGCGGGTGGTAATGGGAGCGACATGGCGTTCCCATGTAACACCTCTCCTGCGCGAGCTGCACTGGCTCCCGGTGGTCTTCCGGGTGCGCTTCAAGGTTTTGGTTACCACCTTTAAAGCGCTCCATGGCTTAGGACCCGGGTACTTGCGGGACCACCTACTACCACCAATAGCCTCCCACCGGCCGGTACGCTCCCATAGAGAGGGGCTCCTCCGGGTGCCGTCAGCCAAACAATGCCGACTGGCGGCCCCCAGGGGGAGAGCCTTCTCTGTGGGGGCACCTACTATCTGGAACGAGCTCCCCCCAGAGATACGGAGGATCCCGGATCTGCGCACCTTCCGCCGCACCTTAAAGACCTTACTATTTCACCAGGCCGGCCTGGCCTAATTTTCCCCCTCTTTTATAAAAGATTTTTAAAATTTTAAATATTTTTTAGTATTTATATATTCAATTTTAAATTGGTTTTAAAAGTTTGGGGTTTTAAATTTGTCGGGGCCAAAATTATTTAATTTGATTTTATTCTATTTTTTAAATTTTGTATTGTATGTGTTTTTATTGTTTGGCTGTGCACCGCCCTGAGTCCTTCGGGAGTAGGGCGGTATAGAAATCTAATAAATAAATAAATAAATAAATAAAATTTCTTGAAAAGGTTAACACACTAAAATTACCTTTAAAAAATTTTCTTTGGAATATAACACATAACCAATTACCCAATCACAACTCAGGAATTTAAATAATGACTTTGTGATAAGTGGTTTTGGGTAATGAAGGAAAGTTTGAGAAGCACTAATATTAACATTTATTGTATCGTGAAGATGCAGTTTTTATACCATTCCGGAGCAATACAGGGACAGGCAAGGAAGCATTTTCTTGGCCAGGTAGAGGGATGGGTATTAAAACCTACTTGAAAAGTGTTTTCCCTATTATAGAAAATTAAGTGTGCTTATTACCATGTTTACTCAAAAGTAAATTCTATGGAATTCAGTGACACTAACATCATGGTATTTAGGACTTATAGCCTGCATCTGTAATGTACTTCGCTGAGACAATTTCTAGCAGTTCCAAACCAAAAACAAATTGCAAGCTTTATTTTCTTCTTAATAAGGGAAAACACAAGACAAAGGCCTCAAAAATGGAAGGCAGTGAAATCTATACCACTGTAAAGAATCATGAACAAGACAGGGCAATTACACACCTCTGTAAAAGCAAGGGTCACTAGTTTTATGATTTAAAAAGGCTGAATGTAAGTTAATAGTTAATAAATGTTTTCAGATTCTGACACAGTTCTTTCTTTTCAAACTTTTGCTTTACTAGTTATGCGGTGGTGATGCTAATTATATGCCTCTTTCTTATTTTGAACTCTTCTGGATTGAACCTTGGTGATCTCATGGGGCAAATTATTTCTTGAGTTTTATGTTGAATCAATGTAGGATTTTTCTATAAAGATTTGAAGAACGTGCGATACAAAAGGACGAAAGCTACACTGTGTATTTTTCAAGATCCCGGTAAAGTTTTGAAATGGAAGATTTGATTTTTCTAAATAACCCCAAATGCACAAATATAGTGTAGGCGGAAGGGTATGACTAATCAGCATTAAAACCTTGTTTGCAATATTTAAACTTCTTGCTGGGCAATCTGCGTTGCAAGACTCCGCAGAGAACTTGTTTGGGCAAATCTGTGATATGGTAAACAGCTGCCGGTTTCTTCTTGCCCTGCAGATGAGAAGGGAAAGTAACAGAAGACCGACCGCGCCTCTTCCATAGCGACGCGGACTGCCTTACAGACGCCTCGCGAGCCCTTGACGACAAGCCCCGGGGGCCGATTATGCGAGGGAAGCGCAGTGCATTGTGGGAAACGCCCGGGCTCGACGGTGCCGCCATTTTGTCTCTGTCACTCTCGGAGCGGCGAGGCTGCAGCGTTTTGTAAGGCAGTGGAAGCAGTCGAGGCGTTAATAATTGGGGCGACGGCACCATGATGTCGGCAGCCCAGCTTTTGGACGAGCTTATGGGCCGGGATAGAAACCTCGCCCCAGATGAAAAGCGCAGTAACGTGCGGTGGGACCATGAAAGCGTGAGTGTTGCTGAGCTTGGGCCTCCCTCTGTCCTCAGGTCTCCTTGTTTTCTCAGCCGTTTTCGGTGGTT